AGACAGCGAGACCACATCAAAAACAAAAAAAAAAAAAAAAAAAAGAAAGAAAGAAGAAAAGAAAAATTGACTCATGATTCCACAGGCTGTACAGGAAGCATGGCTGAGGAGGCCTCAGGAAACTTACAATCATGGCAAAAGATGAAGGGGAAGCAGGCATATCTCACATGACTGGAGGAGGAAGAAGAGAGAGTGAAGGAGGAGGTGCTAAACACTTTTAAACAACCAGATCTCATGAAAAATTACTCACTATCAAGAGAACAGCAAGGGGGAAATCTGCCCCCATGATCCAAACCATATCATCTGCCTGTATTCTTTGTGTGTGTGTGTGTGTGTGTGAGATGGGGTCTCACTCTGCCACTCGGGCTAGAGGAGCATGATCATAGCTCACTCACTGCAGCCTTAAATTTGAGGGATCCTCCTGGGCTCGAGCGATCCTCCTGCCTTAGCCTCCCAAGTAACTAGGACCGTGCCTAGCTAAAATACCAAACTCTTGACTTCAGCTCCATTTGTCATCATTTGTCCATTTCTCCTACAATCTTAAATTTTTTTTGACTGGGGTTTCTATGTGGCTGAATTTGGTGAAGTTTTCACTAACCCAGAACACACACACACACACACACACACACACACACACACACAGCCCCAATAAAGTTCTTTCCTTCAATGAAATTGGCAAAGGGGCATAAAGAAAACTGGAACCTAAGGACCCAGTGAGGAAGCAATGTTTCACTTTCCACTGGAAACTGGTCTTTTACAATAATCCCATCACACCTAGGAGGCTGGACCAGGTTGTTATTTTAGAGTTTTGAAAGTTGCCCTCCCTTTTTCTACCTGGCTACTGGCTTGGGACTTTAGGTGGGTGAGGCCTGCCTCCACAGGAAAAATCCACAGTGAAAATGGTGACAGTTGGAGGGTGCTGGAGTCGAGCTTAGCCTTCCTCAATTCAGAAGACTAAATGCACACAAGAGTGCAGCAGAAGTCAGGAATCTGCTGCCAGACGGGCCAGAGAGGGGCAGGGCCTTCCTGCTCTAGGGCCCTTCCCCAGAAGATGTTAGCTATGGGTGAAGTCTTTACCTCCTCCCCAACCCCTATTCTCCATTGCATCCTTGGAACCAGGAGCCCAGAAACTTGCCAGCTCAGATAACCAGGACCATGTTTGAGATGCATAAATTTGGTCCTCTGGATCCTTCAAAAGTACACTGTATTTGTCACTCCCCGTAGACCCTTCAAGCAATAAGCTCTTCATGCTCTGTCCATTGGTTCTTTTTCTCCAGCAGTTCTGAGCAATGCTTCAAAAACAAAACATCAGATTCATTGTAAAGTTAAAAGGAACAGATTTTTTTCCCCACATACCATGAATTTATCATTGATTGGTTTAGTTAAAATATCTAATGTGTCCACAGGTAAAATTTAAAAGTTCCTTTATGGGGCAGGGAGAGCATTTTTTTTTTAATACTCTGGTTTCACTTTTTTGCATTTAAATACTTTCTCACATACTCAATATTTATAAAAGGGTTAGAGTTCATTTTAGCAAATCCCATTAAATAGGCAGGGCTTTTCAAGGTCTTGCCTGTGAATTTCCTCATTTCAAGCACCGTTTAGTCCAGGTAAGCTGCAATAGAACCTGAGAACTTGGGACTGCCAGGCCAACTCTAGGTACTAGTTCCTGACATTTCTTTAAATATTTGGGTGTTCACATTTGTTCTCTTTGGTCATACTTACTGCACTGGACTTCTTTTTTGTTGAAATGTGAACTCTACTGCTAGCCAGTTAAAGTTCATTGTTTTTCAGAACTTTGATTTTAAAGATGAATATTACTTTAACCTGGCCATGATGTACTGCTTTTTCATAGTTAACTCAAAACAAAGCAGAACTCTGGGGATTAGTTCAATACAAACAATGTATTCTTCAGGATCTTTCTCTAAGTAGAGGAATTTTCTTGACCCTTACACAGCAATATATGGTCTTTTTGGACTACCAGCTCATGGTTATTCTTAATGTGGTCCAGACCCCAGGGCCATCCCTAGGAAAAGGAGGCAAAGCACCTCCCCACAGTAGGCCTGTGCCAGACACAGTGGACACACAGTGGAAACAAGGTCCCTGCCCGAAGACCTCAAGATTTATTGTGAGACATGAATTGGTAATTAAATAGCTGATCATTTTAAAAGCCCTAATACAGTTGTGTTTCATGTACATAACTGTAAATGAATGTAAGAAGTGCTGTAAAATCCCAGTGGGAGGGATTCATTCTTGCAGTGAGGAAGATGGATGAGGATTGAGGAAGACTTCATAGAGGTTGTGGGTTTTGAAATAGGGTTTGAAGGATGAGTAAGAGTTTACTAGGCAGAGATGCATGTAAAGAACATTCCAGGCAGCAGAGACAGCTAAAATAAATAAATAAATAAGTCACAGAGTAAGGAAAAGGATGGGAATGAGAAGTGGTTCAGTGTTACTACAGCATAGAGCAATATTGTCCAACCCACAGTTCAGGACAACTTTGAATGAGGCCAACACAAATTAGTAAACTTTCTTAAAATATGAGATATGTTTACAGTATTTTTTTCTTTCTTTTTTTTTTTTTTTTTGCTTATTAGCTATCATTAGTGTTAGTGTATTTTATGTGTGGCCCAAGACAATTCTTCTTCCAGTGTGGCTCGGGGAAGCCAAAAGATTAGACACCCCGGCATAGAGTATTTTGGGGTGACATGATGGGAATCGGAGAAGTAGGTGGGGGCCAGAATTCAGAAGGCCTTGGACACCAGCCTAAAGGCTTAGAGTTGCTCCTATTGGCCATGCACACAGCAAAGGTGTTCGAGTCCCTCTTTTGGCTGTTAGATTGAATGGGCTCAATTTTTTGGCCCTCTGTCTCTAGAACAGAGCTGCTGCTTTTCTACTGGGCCCACTATTTCTTCCTGGTCCTCTGATTCCCTTAGCGCTACACAGATCTCGATATTTGCCTCAGGTATCAAGGCTCTGAAAACGATTAGGATTCAGAGCAGACTGCTCTTTTTCAGAAAGAGTTTTATATTCTCCCTCTGGTCTTATACACTACAGGCAAATGGCACTGGTGTTTTGGACTTGGGCCAGTTGGGCCTTTTCTCCCCTCAAGAGAGAAGGATTCAATATTCAGTGTTTCTGAATTTCATGCTTAGTTCTTAAGACATTTCCCATTTGCCCTGAGAAATAAGTGCTGGCAGTAAGCTGCACTGTTTTTTTCTAAACGGGAAATGAGTTAAGCATTTGTGATCACCACTGAATGAGGGCCAGAGCTGGTTAGTGATCTTCCTGTTCAATCTGACGTCACCTAACTAGATAAGAAAGAGCTGAAACTAAAAGTCTGGTCTCCTGACTCCCAATCCAGTACTCTTTCTGGTGTGCTCCAGCTTCTGGCTCTGCTCAGCCAATTATGGAACAGACAGAATGTACTTGGCTGCCCCAAACAGGGCTAAAGGGCAGTTCTGTTCCCAAAATGGAATTCTGTTGTGCTTAAGCCAGGCAGCATAATTGCGTGTCTTTTGGTAACTCCCTGTCTTCTTCTGTAAAATGGGAGTCACTGGGTCCTTAGGTTCCAGTTTTCTTTATGCCCCTTTGCCAATTTCATTGAAGGAAAGAACTTTAATGGGGTTGTGTGTGTGTGTGTGTGTGTGTGTTCTGGGTTAGTGAAAACTTCACCAAATTCAGCCACATAGAAACCCTAGTCAAAAAAAATTTAAGATTGTAGGAGAAATGGACAAATGATGAAAAAAATTAATCCTTCAGCTCCTTCTAAGATCAAGGACTGGGGCGTGGTGGGCTGTTCTGCAGCTGTTTTGTGATGGATGAGGGATGATGGATCTATGTTCAAGTAGCGGAATCTTTTTTTTTTTTTTTTTGAGACAGAGTCTCGCTCTGTCGCCCAGGCTGGAGTGCAGTGGCGCTATCTCGGCTCACTGCAAGCTCCGTCTCCCGGGTTTACGCCATTCTCCTGCCTCAGCCTCCCGAGTAGCTGGGACTACAGGCGCCCGCCACCTCGCCCGGCTAATTTTTTTGTATTTTTAGTAGAGACGCGGTTTCATTGTGTTAGCCAGGATGGTCTCGATCTCCTGACCTCGTGATCCGCCCGTCTCGGCCTCCCAAAGTGCTGGGATTACAGGCTTGAGCCACCGCGCCCGGCCAAGTAGCGGAATCTTAAAGTCAGGAGTTGGAAGGAATCTTGGAGGTGGTCTGTGGTGACAGGAAGCCTCTTCCAATAGACTGAACATGGAAGACTTCCTAGAGCCGGAGGACAAGGGTTTCCTCTTAGCAATGAGCTTCCTGTTTTTGGAAATGCTCAAGCTGAGAATGGATGTTCAAGCAGAGGATATTCCGCTTGGAAGGGGCGTTCTGCACTGAAGTGGTGGCCAGCGGGAAACGCCAGGTTTCCAGCTCCTGCACAAATCCTTTCTAATATCCATCTACTCAGGTGAGCTGGCAGGGCAGTAGCTGTGCAGTGTTCAGAGTCATTTTATGTCAATGATCTTCACCTCGGTTTACTAACAACTGTAACAACCGTTACCGTTTACTGCTTTCCTATTAAGCACCATGTACTGTGCATAACATGTTATCTTTATTTCATCTCTATAATTTTGGGAGGTACGTTGAATCATTACTATCTATCTACTTCTTAGGTGAGGAAATAGAGGTTTAAAATTTAGTCCACAGTCTCGCAGGGATGGAGCCTGGATCAAATTTTGGGTTATCAGATTCCACACACGTTTCTTAGCTTTTCTTTTTTTTTTTTTCAGCTCCAATTTGTCTTGCTCCAGAAAAGGGGAAGGAGCGGCTGCGGATCTCTGTCTCCGGCCTCCTAGGAAAGGGAAGGGAGACCAGCGGTGCGGAGGCTGGGGCCCCCTTCTGGGTGGGGCCTAGTGGTGGGCGGGGCCTGGCAGTGGGCGGCCCCTGTCCGGAAGGGGCCAGTCCGGGGCGGAGCCGACGGCCTTACAGGGGCCGGAAGTGGCCTGCGGGAGGAGGAGAAGTGGGTTCGGAGTCCTGAAGCAGTGTCCCGGGCCCTAAGGGGCGACGGCGGTGTTGTCTTTAAACTCCAGAACTACCCATTTGCCGCGTTCTCGCCGCCGCAGGCTCCCGGGACGATGGTGCCCCGCCTGCTGCTGCGTGCCTGGCCCCGGGGCCCTGCGGTTGGTCCGGGAGCCCCCAGTCGGCCCCTCAGCGCCGGCTCCGGGCCCGGCCAGTACCTGCAGCGCAGCATCGTGCCCACCATGCACTACCAGGACAGCCTGCCCAGGTGAGCCCGGCCTCCGGGTCCCCGCCGCCCGCTGCCATCCCAGGATCGGCCCCAACCTGACTGCAGTCACTCATGACTCTTCTAGTGAACCCGCTTCGGCCCCCAAGCCCCTACCATGGAGGCTGCCACATCCCCTAATCTGGAAGTCTTGGGACTTTCAGAATCTCCTAGCACAGGAACCTCAGAACCCTCAAATTGTCTTCCAGAACCCCTCGATGCTATCTCATTCTCCATCTTGAACCCTTCTCAGATTTCCTCTCCATTAACCTGACTTCCAGCCAGCTAAACTAAGTCCTCTTCTCCCTGAAAAATGCCAGACCTGCATATTTCCAGCACCGCTGTAACCCCTCAACTGTGGTGTCTCCTGAAGTACTTTAATGACTGCCTCATTTTCCTGCCCGGAATGTGGGTAGGCTGATTCCTAATACATCATGGTTACCATTCCTCAACTTCTCCCAGCATCGCCTTCATCCCTGTCACTCAGGACCCTCAGCCCCACCTCCCGTTTCTCCAGTACTCTGTTCTTTCACCCCCCCATCAGCCCCCACAAGCACAGCCCTCAAGTGTTCACCCTTGCCCTCAACTGACCCTCCCCCACGTTTTTAAATCTTTAATCTCCTAAGTCCAGTGTTGATCCGGAAACCTTTCACTCTCTCCAAGCCCTCCTCAACAGGTTCCTTCCCTTAAAATATCCTACCTCATCCACAGTACCCCTTGTAAGTGCAGCTCACCCTCACAGAATTCTAGATACCACCCTCAGTACCCCGTCCACACTCCATCATACTCAGATCCAGGGCCTACCCAAATTTCTCTTCTCCTCCTCACCATGGGCTACCCTGCCTTCGAAACACTTCACCCAGAATCGACTTCCCGTCTGAAAATAGCCCTAGTAAATCCTCTCCCCTTCCCTCCCCCAGTACTTTCTTAAATCCGGCTTCCGATTCTCCCCAGCCTTCGAACTCCACCTTCGCCTGAGCCACCAGGTCTCCTTCTTCAATATTACATATTTTCTTCACCCTCTAAACCAAACCTAAACTAACTTCTAACTTACTGAGTGAGTAACTCCGTTCCTGGAGCCAAGTTCAAAATTTGTCTCAAAGACCCTTCTCACCTTATTTCTCACCAAACTGTCCTCAGGGATTCCCCATACCCAGGAGCTAGAGGCCAGGCTCCTTCCCTGTGTGTGAAACAAACATTGTGTCACAGGCCTCACCCGAGCTGCTGGGTTGCTGTTTTTCTCCGCATCCGGGACCATTTAACCCAGTGTCATCACTATATACCCCCACCCTCTCAGGAGGATCGAGTGATTCTTGTGAAATTACATTTTATGCAAACATCTAAGACAAATGAAAATGAGATTATCTACACGTAGCAGGAGGGAGGAAGAAAAAGGGGCTTTGTGCCTGTGGGATAAGCCTGTGTGTATGAGCTGAGCCAGTATGTGGGTGAAAGGTGAGGACGGACGGAACCTGTCTTCACTTGCCAAGTTCAGAGTCAGATGGTCACTGACTTTCAGGCAGGCCTGGGCCCCACCCAGGTTTAAGATCAGAGGGATTTTCTGCACTTTAGAATTGGAAAGCTGGGAGGAATATTCAAGATCATTTATTCCAACCCCATCCACAGCACAGTCTGTAGGAATCTGGAGGTACCAATTCAAACTCCAGTTCAAATAGTACCACTAGTCACCCATGCATAACCTTAAGCAGCCAACCTCTCCCAGACCTCCATTACCTTATTTGTAAATTGGGAGTTAGATGAGAGATAAGATTCCTTCTCTCTCTCAGATTATAGACTGATAACATGTATAATCTTTCACACTCACTCATTGATGTCATACTTGGTGAAAAGCCCTAACTTTGAGGTCTGGTAGAATGTAGTTTCAGATTCTGGATCTGCAAGTCTTTAGCTATAATTTTGGGCAATTCTGTTAACTTCATTGAGCCAATTTTATTTTGTTTTTTTTGGAAACAGAGTCTCTCTCTGTTGCCCAGGCTGGAGTGCAGTGGCCCTATCTCGGCTCACTGCAACTTCTGCCTCCCGGGTTCAAAGGATCCTCCTGCCTCAGCCTCCCAAGTAGCTGGGATTACAAGCGTGCACCACCACGTCTGGCTAATTTTTGTATTTTTAGTAGAGATGGAGTTTCACCATGTTGGCCAGGCTGGTCTCAAACTCCTGACCTCAAGTGATCTGCCCTTGGCCTCCCAGGTAGCTGGGACCACAGGCATGCACCATCATGCCTGGCTGATTTCTTCTATTTTTTGTATCTTTTGTAGAGACAGGGTTTCACCATGTTGCACAGGCTGGTCTTGAACTCCTGGACTCAAGCACTCTGCCTGCCTCGGCCTCCCAAAGTGCTGAGATTACAGGTGTGAACCACCATGCCCAGCTTCACTCCAGAAATTTTTAAGTAGGACTTTTTTTTTAAATCAAATTGCCATTGTCTCTAATGTAGAATTTTGTTTAAAAGGAAGAAGGTAAACTTTCATGAATATCCTTACTGTAGTAAAACCAAATTTTAAGAAACATATGTAGGTAACTCTGGATTTATGAGGTAGCTGAGATAGTATTTGGAATTTTTCTGAGTAAGTCAGTGAATGTAAGGGGATCTATGGTGTTAAAGTGTTGTAAATGGGTACTTAGTGCAGTCTAAGTCATAATGGCAGTAAATGATTTATTTTTGTCATATTGTGGATAAACATGCATTAAAAATAAACTGATGAACCACAGTATATCTTATATTAGGCTTTTAAACTGCTTTATGTATCATGTTTCATTTCCTAAATGACTGATACATTTCAGTATTTTGCATATCAGTGTTAATTTTTAGTTGGTAGAGGCAACCTAACAAACTCTGTTTGTTTTGCTATTAGGGGATATTTCTTTCAATAAAACAAATGAATTGGAAGAGAAAATACACCTCACTTTACTGTCCATGTGTTTTAATTTCACAATAAGCCAGTAACTTCATCACCATAGCCATCTTTGGGAATCCCTAGCAGAGAGAATGATGAGTAGGCAAATTGCTGTTCCTGTTATTTAAGCACATGGGACTATTTGGTTCTTCCTAATAGCGTTCCTGGTGTCTGGACATGGCTTACTGGTTGATTCCTACCTTTCAGTGACTGTAGCCCCCATATAACTGGCCCTTGGACAGATCTGTGTTTCACTCTTATATAATTATCTGTTGTAAAATGCAGAAGAAAATTTAAAAAATAGAACCTTTTCATTTTATCCCAGGGGAGAAAAATGCAGTTGTTCAAACTAAGGCTAGAATTAAATCAGGGAAATACAGTGTTAGCACAGGTGGTGTCATTTTGACCAGAAAACAGGAATGCTTGGGGCGGCTTCTGCTTCCCCATTTTGAATCTATTATTATTATTTAAGATATTATATTCATATTTTATGTAGAGATTTAGTTGTTATTTTACTTAAAAGTAGAGTTACCATTGATATACTTGGCATTAGTAAACCCACAGATTCTGATTTGTCTGTGGCTTCCAATTATTGGTTTTGGGGGAGGAAATTAATGATCTAGTAATCAGTTCATTAGCTTGTAAAGCTAATTAACCTCTTCCACATACTGTCAGCCTTACACTGACCCTGCTTTCTCCCCAGGCTGCCTATTCCCAAACTTGAAGACACCATTAGGAGATACCTCAGTGCACAGAAGCCTCTCTTGGATGATGGCCAGTTCAGGTAAATACTGAGAACCTTGGGTGAGCATAGTTGGGGTGGTTCAAGACAGGCTGGCAAGTAGTGGTGGACCAAGCTTCAGGGAATGTTTGTGACTTGACTGGGTCTCCAGAAACCCAGAACCTAGTTGTGCCTTTGCAAGTTCAGGAAATAGATTTTCATTCAGGAAGGACTGACCGAGCCCTGAGAGTTCCTCTAAACAGGCTCAAGAGAAGATAGTTTATAAGTCAGAATGCCAAATGTGTACTTCCCCTTAGCAGGTGTACCTGGGAGGCTTGCTGGTCCTGGTCATTTATAGAGAGCATGTACCCTTGGAAGGGAGGTCCACTGAGGAGACCATACAGCAGACCAGAAGTCTGCGTTGTAAGCATGTTTATTGAGTTGGATAGCATGCCTCCAAAATTTATGCCCTTTTCCACGAAATTTAGTATATGATCTTATTTGGAATTAGGATTGTGGCAGATGTAATTAGTTAAGATGAGGTCCTACTGGAGTAGTGTGGGTCCTTAATTAAATATGACTGGTGTTCTTGTAAGAAGAAGGCACAGAGACAGCCATATGAGGACACAGGCAGAGATTGGAGTGATGTGTCAACAAGCCACGGCATGCCAGGGATTGCTGGCAACACCAGAATCTAAGAGAAAGCCATGCAACAGATTCTTCCCCAGTCTTCAGAGAAGATATAGTCCTATTGACACCTGGATTTTGTCCATAAAGCTTCCAGAACTGTGAGAAAATAAATTTCTGTTGTTTTAAGCCACCCAGTTTGTGGTGTTTTGTTATAGCAGTCCTAGGGAGCAAATACAGCATAGAATTGGAAAATAATATCAAATTTTGTCAAAAAGTGGATGGCATTAAGCTCTTGTAGCCTAGTGTAGTACTCTTTTTTCATAATGGAAATTTTTCTGTACAGGTAACTGGCATTGTTGGAATCACAGAACTCTTCACTGGACAGTGATGGAGAAACAGATGAATTATCCATAATCTAGTCCTCTGTTTTCAAGTATTCCTTATTAGTCATTTAAAGTTTCTCTTGATATGGTAATAGCTACCAGTTATTGAGTATTATGTTTTAGGATATTCTGAATCCTTAGCTTTATAAATATTTTTAATCTTGTAAAGTGGTATTATCCGTTTTACACATCAAGAAACTGAGACTCAGATCAAGTAACTTATCCAAGATCACACAGTTTGAAAAGCGACAGAGCTAGCATTCAGACTTAACTTCTGTTGACTCCAGAGCTTGTGTCCTTTTCTCTGTGCCAAACTGCCTCCTAGGGTATGGATTATTTTGTGAGATGTTGATGGATTTTCCTAATCATTCATTTTAAGAAGGTAGTCTAGATTATCAATTTTAGATTGATTCCTGTTCTGGTTAGAGGTACTTTCTGATCTCATTCTGGGTTTTAGGGCTATGCTGTTGGGGACCCAAAATTCTATTCTGAGTTCCTTGCCATGAACTTAAAAATCACGTATTCCCTACCATGGTTTGATTTTGTCTTTTCTTGAATGTTTTAGGAAAACAGAACAATTTTGCAAGAATTTTGAAAATGGGATTGGAAAAGAACTGCACGAGCAGCTGGTTGCTCAGGACAAACAGAATAAACATACAAGCTACATTTCGGGTAGGTAGGCTGGGCTGTGGGTATGATTTCTCCCAGAGCCCTCCACAATGAAAAGTAAGGCATATTCTCTCCTGTTTGGGTCTCAGATATTTTTGGTGAGACCAGCAAATGAAGTAACATCTCATCCTCCCTTCCTGAGGTAAATGTTAAGGCTGAGTGTGTTCCTCCTCTACTGAGGTGTTGACTGCAGCCCATGCTCAAGAATGGGCTTCTCTGTAGGTGGGATTGAGGCCAGCCTTCTCTGTAGGTGGGATTGAGGCAGAACCTAATCAATGGTCCTGTCTGAAAAGGATGCAGGATTAAAGTCCTATGTCCTGTATCATTCTGGGTCCTTCACTGTCAGGCAGAACTGTCCTCTCCAGCCTCTTCTCTCACCACCCACCCTGACACACTTCCTGCTGAACTCCTCATTGATCCCTGAACCCTTAGTCTTTTATTCTTCTGTGCCTTTATCCATGCTGTTCCCTCTACCATTTTTTTGCCTGGCAAATTCTTCTTTTAAGATCCAGGGAGGATGGTTTTCTGTGAAACCTCAGTCCTTTTTCCACTCCATTCAGAGTTGGTTGCTTCCACCTCTGTTCCTACAGCACTTCTTTTAGTTTATACATTTACCAAGGTTATACATGCACATAGTTTAAAGAATCAGACAGTTCTATAAGGCTTGTTAGGAAAAAGAGCAACTTCCTTATCATTACCTTATTTCCCACTTCTCACTTTCAGCTCCTAAATCTTTTGTTATATACCTCGTATCTCTAAATTAGATACTTAAATTAGTGCATCTTGATTTTTTCGCTAATAGTCATTAGCTATTGACATCTCATTGTAGAAGATTAGAATTCAGCAGTATTTTACATCCCACCACATATGTGGGATGTGTATACACGTACTTCCTGTTCCCTGATTCACAGCATAGGGATTTGTAATTTTGGATAACTCAGTATCTAGTGTTTATGCTGTTATGATCATATAAACATTATTGTCAGCTGACTCATATAGCATATTGGGATGGTTTTTCCTTTCCAGTACAAAGTTTTTGTTTTCTCTGAAGTTAATAATTATTCCATCCTTTCTTTTGTTTAGTTTCCTATGTGCTTACTAATTTACACCCAGACTCTTCACAAGCTATCTGAATCTCCTCTCAATACATGAAAGCAGATTGGACATTCTATCCATTTTGGTCTTCTTGACGAAACTTCTTCCAGAACTTGCGACATGCTGTAGTCTGGATTTGTGAACCTCTTGGCCTACTGTGAAGCTGCTCTCTTGTGCTCTTTCACCATCAGCCGGGACATCTATCATCACTTTCTCATGTTGGGACTCATGTTTCTTATCTTTCATATTTTCTTATTTCTTGGCTTTTCTTTTTTTTTTTTTTTTTTTTTTTAAATCAAAGCACATATTCCCTTTACTATCTGGAAACAGAACATGGGAAGCAAAAATTTTAAAATGGCCCTTATACTTCATTGATAATTTGGCCAGGTTTGAAATCATTTTTCCACAGAATTTTGGAGCCTTTGCTCCATTGTCTTTTAGCATCCAGTGTTGCTGTTGGTAAATCTAACGTTATTCTGAGACTTAAATCTTTTGACTATTTCTTCTCTCTGCCTTTGGAAGCTTTTTAGAATTTTCTCTTTGTCCCCAGTGTTTTGAAATTTCAGGTAATATGTTTTAGTGTGAGTCTATTCTTATCCATTTTGTTGGGTCACTCTGTGAGTCCTTTGAATCTGAAATCTCATCCTTCAGGTCTGGGATATTTTCTTGTTTTATTTCTTTGGATTTCTTCCTCTCCATTTTTTTTCTCTGTTTTTTTCTTTGTGGAACTGTTATCATTCAGGTGTAGAATTCCCGGGTCTCATCCTCTAATTTTCTTATCTTTTCTCTCACAGTTTTCATCTCTTACTCTTTTTGTTCCATTGTCTTGGGGGACTTGACTTAATTTTAATCTCTCAACCTGTCTGTTTTTAAAACTCCTGTTTTCCTATGTTTTACTTTCACAAGCTCTTTTTTCTTCTTATGGTGTTCTTTTTAAAAATAGTTTATCTCTGAGAATTTTTTTAAAGATCTCATCTCTCTTCATAGTCTATTGCCTTCAAGTTGCTTTTCTCCTGTTTGCTTTGCCCTTTCTTCAGATGCTTCATAATCCTGTGTTGTCTTAGATATGAATGAGATATTAAAAAGCTCTTGGAAGCTATGTGGATGAGGGTGAGGCTTGTCAGTTACAGATTTGCTCTAATATGATTGATATGGTTTGGCTCTATGTCCCCACCCAAATCTCATCTTTGAATTGTAATACCCATGTGTTGAGGGAGGGACCTGGAGGGAGGTGATTGGATCATGGGGGCGGTTTTCCCCATGTTGTTCTCATGATAGTGAGTGGTTTCTCACTAGCTCTGTTAGTTAAAAAGTATTCGGCAGTTCCCCCACTTGTTCTCTTTCTCTCCTGCTGCCACATAAGATGTGCCTTGCTTCCCCTTCACCTTGTGCTGTGATTGTAAGTTTCCTGAGGCCTCCCCAGCCACAAGGAACTGTGAGTCAATTAGACCTCTTTTCTTTATAAATTACCCAGTCTCAGGTAGTTCTTTATAGCAGTGTGAAAATGGACTAATATAGAAAATTGGTACCAGGAGGGGTGCATTGCTACAAAGATACCTGAAAATGTGGAAGCAACTTTGGAACTGGTTAATACGCCTCTGCCTATGGAACAGTTTGGAGGGGTCAGAAGAATACAGGAAGATGTCAGACAGTTTGAAACTTCTTAGAGAGTTGTTGAATGGTTTTGACCAAAATGCTGATAGAGATATGGACAATGAAGTCCAGGCTGAGGTGGTCTCAGATGGAGATGAGGGACTTACTGGGAACTAGAGCAAAGGTCACTCCTTACTATGCTTTAGCAGAGAGACTGGTGGCATTTTGTCCCTGTCCTAGAGATCTGCAGAACTTTGAACTTGAGAGAGATGATTTAGGGTGTCAGAAGAAATTTCTAAGCAACAAAGCATTCAAGATGGCTTTTCTGAAAGCATATGGTCGTATGCATTCACAAAGAGATGATCTGAAATTGGAACTTATGTTTAAAAGGGAAGCAGAGCATAAAAGTTTGGAAAATTTGCAGCCTGACCATGCAGTAGAAAAGAAAACCCCATTTTCTGGGGAGAAATTCCAGCCACCAGCTGCAGAAATTTGCATAAGTAATGAGAAACCAAATGTTAATAGCCAAGACAATGGGGAAAATGTCTTGAGGGCATTTCAAAGATCTTTACAGTAGCCCCTCCCAGCATAGGCCCAGAGGCCTAAGAGGGATAAATGGTTTCCTGGGCCCTGCTGCTCTTTGCAGCCTTGGGACATGGTGCCCTGTGTCCCAGGCACTCCAGCTCCAGCCATGGCTAAAAGGGGCTAAGGCACAGCTCTGGCCATTGCTTCAGAGGGTGCAAGCCCCAAGCATTGGAGGCTTTCTTGTGGTGTTGGGCATGCAGGTGTGCAGAAAACAAGAGTTGAGGTTTGAAAACCTCCTCCTAGATTTCAGAGGCTATATGGAAACACCTGGATGTCCAGGCAGAAGTCTGCTGCAGGGGTGAAGCCCTCATGGAGATCCTCTACTAGGGCAATGCAGATGAGAAATATGAGGTTAGAGCCCCCACACAGAGTTCCCAATGGGGAGCCTAGTGGAACTGTGAGAAGAGGGCCACTGCCCTTCAGACCCCAGAATGGTAGATCCACTGACAGTTTGCACCATGTGCCTGGAAAAGCCACAGGCATCCAACACCAGCCTGTAAAAGCAACCATGGGGGCTGTACTCTGCAGAGCCACAGGGGCAGGGCTGCCAAAGGCCTTGGGAGCCCACCCCTTGTATCAGCATGCCCTGGATGTGAGACATGGAGTCAAAGATCATTTTGGAGCTTTAAGATTTAATGGCTGCCCTGCTGGATTTCAGGCTTGCATGGGGCCTGTAGCCCCTGTTTGGGCCAATTTCTCCCTTTTAGAATGGGAGCATTTACCCAATGCCTGTAACCCCATTGTATCTTGAAAATAATTAACTTGTTTTTGATTTTACAGACTCATAGGCAGAAGGAACTTGCCTTGACTCAGATGAGACTTTGTACTTGTAATTTTGAGTTAATGCTGGAGTAAGACTCTAGGGGACTGTTGGGAAGACATGGTTGTTTTGAAATGTTAGAAGTACATGAGATTTGGGAGAGGCCAGGGCGGAATGATGTAGTTTGGCTCTGTGTCCCCAACCAAATCTGATCTTGAATTGTAATAATCCCCAAGTGTCAAGGGAGGGACTTAGTGGGAGGTGATTGGATCACGGGGCGGTTTCTCCCATGTGTTTCTTGTGATAGTGAGTTCTCATGAGATCTGATGGTTTAGAAGTGTTTGGCAGTTCCTACTCCTCACTTATTCTCTCTCCTGCTGCCATGTGAGATGTGGCTTGCTTCCCCTTCGCCTTTCGCCAGGATTTTAAGTTTCCTAAGGCCTTCCCAGCCATGCAGAATTAAGTCAGTTAAACTTCTCTTCTTTATAAATTACCCAGTCTCAGGTAGTTCTTTATAGCAGTGTGAAAACAGACTAATACAGTGATCCAGCTAAACTGCTTCCCTGGGTTGCCCCTAATGGTAGTGTCATTGGGTTAGATTCCCTAGGGAGGCTTTTCTAGTAAACTGCCAAAAGGTTGCTAGTGTTGTAGAAGGTAGGGTAAGTAAGAGAAGAAGATTTGAGATCCTAACTGTGATTCAGGTCTCCCAGTTTTATTTTATTTATTTTATTAGACAGAGTCTCATTCTGTCACCCAAGCTGGAGTGCAGTGGTGTAATCTCGGCTCACTGCAACCTCTGCCTCCTGGGTTCGAGTGATTCTCCTGCCTCAGCCTTCCGAGTAGCTGGGACTACAGGCATGTGCCACTATGCCTGGCTAATTTTTTGTATTTTTAGTAGAGACAGTGTTTCACCATGTTAACCAGGATAGTCTTGATCTCCTGACTTCATGATACACCCACCTTGCCCTCCCAAAAGTGCTGGGATTACCAGCGTGAGCCACCACACCCAGCCCCCAGTTTTATTTTTTCCAGAGAGTAAAACTTAAGGCTTCTACCAGAGTGCGGAGGGAATCTCAGGTTGTGGTAGTGGTGATATAATTAAACAGTCCTTCAACCAGATGTATCTAGGTTACCAACTACTGAGCCCTCTGGGGGTTCTGCTGTGCAAATCATATGATTTCTTGGCTTTTTCTCCTGCCAATTTAGGATTGGCTTTCTCCAGTCTGCTTTAGTCATTACCAGTTGCATAAGTGCTTTCCAGCTTCTAGTATTTGTTTTCTCATCTCCCATTCTCTTGGCCTGACTGGTTTATGTCTCTTTGAAATTCTTTTGCTAAGTGGGGGTCAGAGGCATGAATTTATGTCTTCTCACATCAAATATATCTTATCCACCAGTACTTTTCTCTCATCATTTTAGTATTATCTCCCATCATTTAGCATTGCATTATGTTTTAATTATTTGCCTCCTTCACCAGAGTTTTTCAGAATCAAAGACCATGTCCTATTCCTCTCTAAATCCCCTGGACCAAGGCCTGGCACAGCACTGATTCTCAAGGGATGGAATGAGTGGATGGACCAACAAATGAGTAGTAGACAAATCTGCATCTATTAATCCTTTTCCCAGTGCTATACATATAAATGTTATTTGCCCGAATGAAAGATGGTCCTTATTTATAGAGTTTATTCATGCTTACTCATCCAAGCAGGAACTTTCCCTGACATATTTTCTGATAAAATATTGCTTTTGGAATTTTTACAGGTAAAACATCTACAAGAACTCAGAGGGCTAGTCTGAGTGATCCATGTACTGATAGTTCTAATAGCTTTTTGAGTACTTTCTAAACAGGGAGTGCACAAATGTACACTGTACACAGGAGGACAATGAAGATGTTCCCCCCTTGTCAGGGGGGGCAGTCAAGTATGATTGTTGCCCCTGAAAGGAGATGAAGCAAGAGAAACCTAAAGAGATGGGGTGGGAATTAACTATTCTGTTCCAACATGAATACAAGTGGAGTGTTACCATATTTTATTCCTTTAAACCAAGAAAGGAAACCAAAGAGGAAGAAAAAGCAATTAATAAACATTAGGAAAATGCAAACCAAATCTGCAGTGCTATACTACTTTACACCTACCAGAATATCTCCATGCAACAAGACATATGATAACAAGTGCTGCTGAGGATGTGGAAAAATTGGAACCCTCATAGACAGCTGGTGGGAATGGTGCAGCCACTTTGGAAAACATCTTGGCAGTTCCTCAAAGGTTAGACAGAGACTTACCATGTGATAGCAGTTCCACTCCTGGCTATGTCCATATAAAAACACGTATAAGAATGTTCATAACAACATAATTCTTAATAGCTAGGCACAGTGGCTCACACCTATAATTCTAGCACTTTAAGAGGCTGAGGTGAGAGGATTGCTTGAGGCCAGGAGCTTGAAACCAGCCTAAGCAACATAGTAAGACCCCATCTCTACAAAAAATAAAAAAAAATTAGCCAGGCTGGTGGTGTGCATCTGTAGTCCTGGCTACTTGGGAGGGTGAAGTGGGAGGATCACTTGAGCCCAGGGTTCAAGGCTGCAGTGAGCCATGATCACACCACTGCAATCCAGCCTGGACAACAGAAATCCTGTGTGTCTTAAAAGAAAAAAAGGCAATATAATTCATAATACAGTGGAAACAGTTCAAATGTCCATTAACTGATGAGTGGATAAACAAAATATAGTATATCCATATAATGGAATATTATTCAGCCATAAGAAGAAATGAAGAACTTACATGCTACAACATGGATGAATCTTAAAAACATTATTAGGAGGCCAAGGCGGGTGGATCGCCTGAGGTCAGGAGTTTGAGACCAGCCTGCCCAACATGGTGAAACCCCATCTCTACTAAAAATCCAAAAATTAGCTGGGCATGGTGGAGGGTGCTTGTAATCCCAGCTACTCGGGAGACTGAGGCAGGAGAATCACTTCAATCCGGGAGGCGGAGGTTGCAGTGAGCCAATATTGCGGCACTGTACTCCAGCCTGGGTGACAGAATCAAGACTCCATCCCAAAAAAACAAAACAAAAACATTATTATAAGTGATAGAAGCTAGATGCAAAACACCATATATTGTATGACCCCATTTATATGTCTTGAATTATTGCAGAGCAAAAACATTCAGGGAATTCTCCCTGCTGGAGGTTGATGCCATTTCCTTTGCCTATGCTTGAATTTTTTTTCTTCTTCAAATTTTATTTTTAGGAACAGCATTAACATTTTATGTTATTTTTTTCTTTTTATTTTTTAGGACCCTGGTTTGATATGTACCTATCTGCTCGAGACTCCGTTGTTCTGAACTTTAATCCATTTATGGCTTTCAATCCTGACCCAAAATCTGAGTATAACGACCAGCTCACCCGGGCAACCAACATGACTGTTTCTGCCATCCGGTTTCTGAAGACACTCCGGGATGGCCTTCTGGAGCCAGAAGTGTTCCATTTGAACCCTGCAAAAAGTGACACTGACACCTTCAAGAGACTCATACGCTTTGTGCCTTCCTCTCTGTCCTGGTATGGGGCCTACCTAGTCAATGCATATCCCCTGGATATGTCCCAGTATTTTCGGCTTTTCAACTCAACTCGTTTACCCAAACCCAGTCGGGATGAACTCTTCACTGATGACAAGGCCAGACACCTCCTGGTCCTAAGGAAAGGAAATTTTTATATCTTTGATGTCCTGGATCAAGATGGGAACATTGTGAGCCCCTCAGAAATCCAGGCGCATCTGAAGTACATTCTCTCAGACAGCAGCCCCGCCCCCGAGTTTCCTCTGGCATACCTGACCAGTGAGAACCGAGACATCTGGGCAGAGCTCAGGCAGAAGCTGATGAGTAGTGGCAATGAGGAGAGCCTGAGGAAAGTGGACTCGGCTGTGTTCTGCCTCTGCCTAGATGACTTCCCCATTAAGGACCTTGTCCACTTGTCCCACAACATGCTGCATGGGGATGGCACAAACCGCTGGTTTGATAAATCCTTTAACCTCATTATCGCCAAGGATGGCTCTGCTGCCGTCCACTTTGAGCACTCTTGGGGTGATGGTGTGGCAGTGCTCAGATTTTTTAATGAAGTATTTAAAGACAGCACTCAGATCCCTGCCATCACTCCACAGAGCCAGCCAGCCACTGCTGACTCTACTGTCACTGTGCAGAAACTCAACTTCAAGCTGACTGATGCCTTAAAGACTGGCATCACGGCTGCTAAGGAGAAGTTTGATGCCACCATGAAAACCCTCACTATCGACTGCCTCCAGTTTCAGAGGGGAGGCAAAGAATTCCTGAAGAAGCAGAAGCTGAGTCCTGATGCAGTTGCCCAGTTGGCCTTCCAGATGGCCTTCCTGCGGCAGTACGGGCAGACAGTGGCCACCTATGAGTCCTGTAGCACTGCCGCATTCAAGCACGGCCGCACTGAGACCATCCGTCCGGCCTCCATCTATACAAAAAGGTGCTCTGAGGCCTTTGTCAGGGAGCCCTCCAGGCACAGTGCTGGCGAGCTTCAACAGATGATGGCTGAATGTTCCAAGTACCATGGCCAGCTGACCAAAGAAGCAGCAATGGGTGAGGCAGGGGTGGGGAGCATGCCCTTGGGTCTTGTCCTCAGTGCTTGAGTAAGCAAGCCTAAGTCATATTCTACTCCGAATCTGATTTCTACCCCTTCACTAAGTTTAATCCATCGCCAACTCCCCAAATAAATTTTCTTTTCTACCCTAGCAGTCTGAACAGCCACACTAGCCACTAGGGATCAGAATGTTCTTGCCTCCTAAGCAGGCGTGGGGGAATGCATGTGACTTTGTGCTCATTTAAGGTCACTCTGAGCTGTGACGTGTCATTCTTTTTCTTTTTTTTGGAGACAGTTTCCCTCCTTCATCCAGGCTGGAGTGCAGTGGCATGATCCTGGCTCACTGCAACCTCTGCCCCCAGGTTCAAGTGATTCTCCTGCCTCTGCCTCCCGAGTAGCTGGGATAATAGGCACCCACCACCATGCCTGGCTAATTTTTGTATTTTTGGTAGAGACGGGGTTTTGCCATTTTGGCCAGGCTGGTCTTGAACTCCTGACCTCAGGTGATCCCCCCGCCTTGGCTTCCCAAAGTGCTAGGATTACAGACATGAGCCACCGCGCCTGGCCCTTTTTGGAGACACAGTCTCATTCTGTCACCCAGGCTGGGGTGCAGTGGTGCAATCATGGCTTACTGCAGCGTCAACTTCCTTGGCTCAAACAATCTTCCTGCCTCAGTCTCCCAAGTAGCTGGGACTACAGGCATGCACCACCATGCCTGGCTAATAATTTTTTTTTGATGGAATTTGTTGCCCAGGCTGGAATACAATGGCACAATCTCGGCTCACTGCAACCTCTGCCTCCTGGGTTCAGGTAATTCTCCTGCCTCAGCCTCCTGAGTAGCTGGGACTACAGGCTCACAGCACCATGCCCAATTTTTATATTTTCAGTAGAGATGGGGTTTCACTGTGTTGGCCAGGCTGGTCTTAAACTCCTGACCTCGTGATCCACCTGCCTCGCCCTCCCAAAGTGCTGGGATTACAGGTGTGAGCCACCACTCCGGGCCTAATTTTTAAAATTTTTTGTAGAGATGAGGTCCCACTGCATTGCCCAGGCTGGTCTCAAACTCCTGGGCTCAAGCGATCCTCCTGCCTCGGCCTCCCAAAGCACTAGGATTATAGGCGTGCACCGCTGCACCCAGTCTCCTTTTTCTGTTACTCATTGGTTATCAGACTGACTTTTGAAAATGTAGGATTTCTAAACTTGTGGCCCCACTAACTTCACCTCAGTTGTAGTGTGTCTGCTCTCTGTAAACAGGTCATCTCAAAAACTCTTCCCAGTTGTCATCTGTCATTACCTTTCTTTGATAAAATTCAAGACCTGGAAAGGACCTGGAGGGTCACAGTTGTCCTTTCATGTTGCTATGAAGTGCTGGAAGTGAAGGGAACCTCCCAGACATTGTAGTCTTCTCTTCCTCCATTTTATAAGGAGAAGACCAAGCCACTGGCCCGGTTACACAGCAAATTAGTAAGACTGAGATTAGAACCCTGGTCAAACAGACTTTCCATTTTGTTCCACTGACTCAATCTTCTCTTTTACACTTGAATCAGACTTACAGTTTTATCGTAGTTTTTGAGTCCATAGCTCTCTTCGTGTACTGTCTTGACTCTTTGACTAAACTGATTTCAAATCTTTAAAATTGTGCTTTCCTTTTAGGCTCATTTTTAGCTCAGCTGTTGACAGCTATTTTTAAATATAACATGACATAATACATTTTCTAAATAATTTGAAATATTCTAGCTTGAGCTGCTCTGAAGGTTAGCTGGTGGTGGGCATAGAGGTAGACAGAGCCTTCCCCCATTCTCAAGGATGCTGTGATGGGTATTCCTACCATGTGGTAAGTGGGGAGGTTTTCCTGAGGTCCTTTTCTGTCCTTGGACTCTGGTTTTCCATTTTGTTTCTCACAGGTCAGGGCTTTGACCGACATTTGTTTGCTCTGCGGCACCTGGCAGCAGCCAAAGGGATCATCTTGCCTGAGCTCTACCTGGACCCTGCATACGGGCAGATAAACCACAATGTCCTGTCCACGAGCACGCTGAGCAGCCCAGCAGTGAACCTTGGGGGCTTTGCCCCCGTGGTCTCTGATGGCTTTGGTGTTGGATATGCTGTTCATGGCAACTGGATAGGCTGCAATGTCTCTTCCTACCCAGGCCGCAATGCCCGGGAGTTTCTCCAATGTGTGGAGAAGGCCTTAGAAGACATGTTTGATGCCTTAGAAGGCAAATCCATCAAAAGTTAACTTCTTGGAAGATGAAAAGCTACCATCACTTCCTCATCATGAAAACTGGGAGGCTGGGCATGGTGGCGTATGCCTGTAATCCCAGCACTTTGGGAGGCTGAGGTGGGTGGATCACTTGAGGTCAGGAGTTTGAGACCAACCTGGTCAACACGGTGAAACCTCATCTCTACTAAAAATACAAAAACTAGCTGGGCATGGTGGCATGTGCCTATAATCCCAGCTACTTGGGAGGCCGAAGCAGAATTGCTTGAACCCAGGAAGTGGAGGTTGCAGTGAGCTGAGATTGCACCACTGCACTCCGGCCTGGGCAACAGAGCGAGACTCTGTCTCAAAAAAACAAAAAAGAAAAAAAAATTGGGGCCTGTGTAGCCAGTGGGTGCTATTTTGTGAAACTAATCATAAGCTGCCTAGGCAGCCAGCTACAGGCTTGAGCTTTAAAATCATGGTTTTAAAGCTAAACGTGTAATTTCCATGTGGGACTAGATCACAACTAAAGATAACACGAGATTTCAGTTTTAAGGGCATTTAATCAGGAGGAAAGGTTTGGAAAACTAACTCAGGTGTATTTATTGTTTAAGCCAGAAATAAAGTTTAATTTTTGCTTGAAGATAGTTCTTAATTTTTTTTTTAACCTAATTCCTAATCGTCACAAAGATCTTTCCAACAGCAAGTTCAGTAAGTTCAGGTAATAGTACGTCACCATTGGCTTCTGGCTCATTGAGTGATGGTGGGATCACAGTTTCCTCTCTGTAAACTTGCCCTTGACTGGGGAGATACCATCTCCTTAAAAACACTCTTCATATTCCTAAGGAGTGAACTGCTGCTGCACGAATTCTTATTTGCGGAGGGAGTAGCTGCTTCCTTACTTCACCTTCATGCACCAGTGCAGCATGAACAGGGGCTTTATTGATGGGGCTTGGGGAACTGTAATAAAGTCCAGCATGCAGACTGTGAAGGTTTGGTATAGCCGCCAGGAGACAAGGGGCAAAGGAACCAGCCTCTGTGGGCTCTGCTGCTTGGAGTACATTGTCCTTTCTCAGTTTGTAAGGGCAACTGTGCAGGAAGAGGGATCAGCACTTCACAAACTGGTGGGTGACCTCGTAGATTCCCACAGACTCCTGGGCCTTTTCATCATAGTCAGTCCAGTCCTGGGAAACAAAATGGCAATGTGAGCCTCACAAGGCAGAATGCAGCAGTGTGGAGAGCAGAGAACTGGGACTTAAAAGGCCCAGCTCAGGCTCTGACGCAAATAATCATGAACATGTATGACCCTGAACAGAGCCAGATAACTCAGGCCTGAATTCTAGCTCTTTCAGTTGTGTGACTGGGCAAATCACTTAACTTCTCTGAGCCTCTTCTCCGAGTCCTGTCTTCTATTAAAAAAAAACAAAGGACAACAATGGAGTTCATATTGAATGTTGAAAGAAATCAAATGAAGTAACACATTTAAAAGAACTCAGCAGCTGGGCGTGGTGGCTCATGCCTGTAATCCCACACTTTGGGAGGCCAAGGCAGGTGGATCATTTGAGGTCAGGGGTCCGAGACCATCCTGGCCAACAAGGTGAAACCCCATCTCTACTAAAAATACAAAAAATAGCCAGGAATGGTGGTAGGCACCTGTAATCCCAGCTACTTGGGAGGCTGATGCAGGAGGATCACTTGAGCCCAGGAGGCAGAAGTTGCAGTGAGCTGACACTGTGTCACTGCACTCCAGCCTGGGCAACAGAGTGAGACTGTCTCAAAAAATAAAATAAAATAAAATAAAACAAAATAAAATAAGAACACTCAGCATAGTGAGTGCCTGGCACATATAAGAGCTCAGTAAATGCTAGCTGCTGTTACTAGGTGCTATGCAAATGAAATGAAGTTTTTGTCCTTCAAGGCGTGAGCACAAGGCTTTTTTATCTGCAGGGTAGTAATACGTCCAGTAATACAGACTCTTTCTTGTTCTTCATGGTAGTTAGGTGCAATAAAGCCGCCACAAACAATGAATTAGGGAATACTGAATGAATACTCCCTGGAGAAATACAAGGTTAGGTTCCTATGAGCCTCTGGTCACATTTTCATCAACCAATCAATAATCTAGCTTTATGTGTTTCTGTTTAAAGATACCTTACTTAATATATATTGTTGATTCATGAACTCACAGCCAGCAGCACTATAGCTCATGCCTGAATAAAGCTTATCTAACACGTATTCTCTCTGTAAGGGGCATCATAGCTTTTCCATATGTAGGAACATTAGAAAGCACTTATAGCACTATACTTGTGGCCATTTCAACAGCAAAATCACTAACAAAAAGCACAAAAATATAAAGTTGGCTTTCCACTGATGAGCCTTGTCCACCAAAAAAATATTTCCCACCAGGTGCCCTATAATACCTCCCAGAGCCCCCAAGTCTCATACCTTCTCCTGTAAATCAATGTCACTGAAGACTGTCCCTGACTCCACACCTTCAGCAGCAAACCCAGCCTGCAGGGGACAAGAAGGTACCAGTTAGTTTTGGCAAAAGGAGGCATTGGGCTATAAGTGAGGGCTGGCCAGGTTGCTGACTCTTCTCACACTTTTGGGATGGAGGACAGAGATGCAGTACAAGCACCTGTCTTGGAATAACTGCCGATCTTCCAGGACCCGGCAGCTGCCTCAGAACTAGAGTGATGGTTTCTCTGAATTACAGTCCTGGACCAGAAGGCAGCAGGTGCAGCATAATCCCTTCCACTACCCCAGGTTTGCTGAAGGCCCCTGGGCATGTCATTTCCCAGGTTGGACCTTAGTTATTTATAAAATGGGGATGAAGTATTTGCTCTTCCACCTCACAGATTTGTTGTGAGGTGAAACATGCACAAATAAAGGGGGATAAGCACCAGCTCAAGTCAGATAGACCTGGGTTGAAACTATAGCTCCATTGCTTACTGTGTGACCCTGAGCAAGTTGCAACATCTCTTCAGTTCCTTACTCATCTGAAGAACAGGATGAATAAATTCATAGGGTTACCATGAGGATCAAATGTGGTAACATGTGAAAATGACAGCATGGGTGCCCAAGCATACAGCAGCCACTTAATAATGGACAATTATTACTACCACTAGAAAGGAGAAATGTCTAGTCCATGGTCTCTGTAGGTAGCAAAGTTCTGGCTGTCACTTCACGCATCCCCTCCCCAAAGACAGAGATTCCACAGAAAGATACACACACACCTGGGGCTGGAAATCAACTGGTTCAAGGCCCCTGCACTCAAACTCCACTATTGTCTTGAAGTTCTCATTGTCTTCAGCCTAGAAAGGAAGTGTGTTGAAGAGGTAGGCCCAAAAGAACTCTCAAGATGACCTCATGGCTCCTCTCCTTCCCACCAAATGGGCACTTACTGCCCCTGGAGGCCTACCATGAGACCCAGGAACAACTCATCCCCTTCTTAGAGGAAGCCTGCCTTGGGCACCTGCTCCCTATGAGGCTTTCTGTAGACAGTAGACATGGAGGCTGCAGAAGAGTGTGGATGCTGGGGTCAGCCTGCCTGGATGTAAGGTAAGCTCTGTCTCTCTTCCCCTCTGGGCCCAAGATTCCTAAATTGTCAAATACAGCCGAGGAAACCTCTACAATTTTATTGTGAGATTTTGAAATGCATATAAAGTGCCCAGCACAGTGCTCAATAAATGGTAAACAAAATTATCAACACCAAAAATATGAACAAGAATGTTAAGCTCCCAAGTCTCTAGATCATCCAAACAGACCCAGTACACTCAGCCACAGCCTTTTGCTCACTATCTGCCATTAAGTAAGGTAGAGGGCTGACTTACAGCGGTTGAAATGGTTATGTATGTGGAGGGGACACCTCTTGCGGGGTAGATGGCCAGGAAATTCATGCCTACCTGACCTATGGGCTTAGGGGCCACAAGTGCCATGCCCACACATTCAGTCTCATCCTGTCATTCACTGTAAAAATAATTTCCTGCACACTGACTGGATTTTGACCAGGAGGAAAACAGAGCAGAAGCTCTGGGATCTGGAACAGTGAAGAGCCTCGGACTCTGGTACTGGTAAGGCAATTCTCTGTTAGCGCCCTAGTTCGATTCTTATTTGTCTGTATTTTCCACTAGACTATTATGTACTTGAGGGCAAGTCCTCATTTCATTTCTCTTTAACTTCAGGACAAAGCCAAGAATTTGGCACAACTCAAGATACTTTAAATAAATACCAAATAAGGAATAGGTGAATACAAATAACTGGCTTTCTTTAAACAAACAGACCCAAAGCACACACTCCCTCCCTCACCTTTGGGCTAACTTGCTCCATAGTAACATATAACTATCTAATAACACTGATACTATAAAGGATGGGATGCACCAAAGGACTACCCCACCTATGGTTTCAGAGAAAGCTTGCTAGTCCCCTAAAATGAAGACAAGGCAAGTGCTCTCAGTGATGCAAACTGAACAGCTAGATTGTGTCAGAGGTCCCCTGAGATCCCACAGCCCAGCCCTCATAAGAAGACACTGCAAGAGGCAATATACCAAGCACTCAGTGTACAGTGAATAAATGACTGAGGGAAAGAAGAACTAAGTTCATGAGTGAATATCCTATGGCAGGTCACTCTGATGCAGGCATGACTCTAGAACCCAGACCTACTAACTCCAGTTAGGATTTAACCCCACCATCCCTGCCACTACAGCAACAAACTTACATTGTAAGGCTTGATGGTGCTGCTTAATATCTCTGAAATAGAAAAGAGAACACAAAGTTGACTTGAGTCCATGCCCTGGCCCCAGCCAGGTGCCCAGATGTGGCCCTGAAAAAGATCGTGCTGCACAGGTGTCGGCATCTTAGGCTTGACTCCACCCTCAGGTAACATGAGTCTATTTTCAGCCTGGTGCCAGGAAGCTGTGGGCCACCCTGGCAGAACTCAGTATGCACAGCCTGACCTACCGATGGAATTTTCTCTTGCACACAGCTTGCACTTCTGGACCATGGAAGCACTGCCACGGCCCCCCTTCAGTGCCACACTGTCCTGGCAAAAAGCAAACAGAACTTTCAGTCACATATGAATTAGATGTACGGTCCTGAGGAGGTTGAGCCCACCATTTATTGTCCACTGAAAGAGACCAAGACCCAGAAAGGGTAACTTACTAGGACAAGACTCCTGGGAAGGCTTCCTGAGGAAAATAAAAAAAGAGCTTCTCCTTGATTTTGAACTCTGCCTCATATCTCAAAGATATCTGTTGAACCCAGTGCTGATCACACTGACACCTGCCCTCCCAAACCACAAAAAGCAGGGAGCAAAGAACTGGAGAGATGAAGGCCAGTTTCCCCAAATCCCTGCCCAGAAGTGTATGTGTGTTTGTGAGTGTTTATGATGGGGGGGAACAGTTACCATCAGCCGGATGTACTGCCACTTGTCCGAAATCTCACCACAGTTGCCACATTTCATCTTTGGGGGAAAAAGAATGTTAGTAAAGCAAATGGCTCAGCTGGGCAGACACCAAGGAAGGGGTAAGAACAGTGGGAGGTGGGCAGGCTCATGGCCTACCTTCTCGTTGGCAATCTCACTTCATCCCTAACACCAGCCCCAGCAAGGACAAAACTAGACCTATCTCTGGGCAAAGGGTAGATAGGTAAGGCTGTTTAATATGCCGGCATGCCCACCCTCCTCTATGAAGTGTTCAGTGTGGCCAGGGATTCAAGGCATCTGTGGTGCAGAAATGGCTTCAATGGGGGTGGGGGGAAATAGGGAGAGATTAGTTAAAAGATACAAAATTACACCTACATGGGAAGAATAAGTTCTAGTGTTCTATAGCACTGTAGGGTGACTATAGCTAACAATAATAGTTTCAAATAGCTAGGATATTAAACGCTCCCAACACAAAGAAACGATACATGTTTGAGATGAATATGCTAACTACCTTGATCTGATCACTATATATTACATATATCGCAACATCACCATATACCCCATAAATATGTACAATTCTTATGTGTCAATTAAGAAAAAAAAAAAAAAGAAATGGCCCCGGCAGGCCCCCCACCCACTCTGCTTGGTTGGCTTTATGGTCCCACAGGCCCTGTATGTCACTGGTGTATTTATCACTCTGTTGTGACTCTATTTTTCTGTCTCCTTCACTCGATTCGGCTTCTTGAAGCCAAAGAACAGATTCTCCCAAGTAAGCCCTGGTATTCAGGCTTCAAAATCCTGGGAAATAATAGTCCGGAGGCAGCTTCCTGAAGAACAGGGCTTTTGAGAGGTAGAGAAGGATGCTGGGATTTTGACCAGGAGGAAAACAGAGCAGAAGCTCTGGGATCTGGAACAGTGAAGAGCCTCGGACGGCTGGAGAAGGGGAGGCCTCTGTAGACCATGCCGCTAGGGTACCAGCTTTACCAGTGTGGGAGGGAAAAGGAAGGGTGGACTACGCACAAAATTAAACTATTTCACAATAAAGAAAACCAAATCAATAAACGAAAGGCGAACTATTCACCTTATTAAATAATCACAACGTCCCTTAAAGTAGCATTTCGTTTAGTGTCCGTTTACAGACCACGAAACATTTAACACAGGGAAAAACTACAAAATGAAGCTTTCCAAGACTGCCAATTAGAGATAAACCAATACACTTTAATAAAAAGTAAACGTAAAATTCTAACTAGGAAAACCCCGAACACTTAATGTGCCTGGTTAAATATTTTCTCATACTGCCGGAGAGAAGGCTCCGGTTCAGCACTGAGATCAGGACGGGCCGCCACTCCCCGGGCCCCGCCCCAGCCGCACCTTCAGGTACCACCGGAAGTCCTCGCCCACGGGCCGGAGGTTGGTGATGTTCTCCAGCGTGGCTTTGAGTTGCAGCGCGATTTTCTGAGGGGGAGGGCCAGAGTAACTGCGTCAGCCGTGCCTGCGCAGCTCCACGCCGGCCCGACCCTCCCGCATTCCCAGCCATGGGTGCCACAGGGAGACATTCCTTCTGCTTCCTGCTCCTTCAGCGCGAACCCACTCGCTTCATCTCCTCCTGGCGCGAGCTCTTGCCTCCCAGACCCTCGCCACCTCCCCTCTGTGTCCCCGCGGCGGGCGGCTCCCCTCACCCCCATGGTGGCCCTTTCCGCCCGGTGCTGGCTGCGGCCGTTGCTTTCCGGCGCGTCGTAAAAGGCGAGTGCTGTCTGCGCACCCTCAGTAGGGCCTGGCGGGGCGGGGCCGCGGGGCAGGGAGCTCTGCCTGCGGCTGCTCGCCTGGCCCACAGGCTTTTCGCATCAGGGGATCCGGGGCCAGTGAAGGTCAGCCAGGTTCGCGAGCAACCCGTGCTCAGACCAGCGGAAGCCTGACTCCAGGATTCGGTGGTGCCACAGACAGTGAACGCCGATTTTGTGCCTGCTCTAAGCGAACAAGACAGTTGCTGCCCCTCAGTTCTTTTCAGGCGCTTCACTACTCTGCTTGCCCTCGAACTTCTCAGATCACGTCAGATCCCTCTGCCCAGGGGAAAAACTACAAAAGGAAGAGTTCCAAGACTACCAAATAAAGATAAACCAATACACTTTAAAAAGCAGAGTGTATTGGTTTATCAGATTTGGAGATGATGCCTTTCTTTAAACTGCCCTTTCCTGTTTCACCCAAGAGACCTGGTTTCTAGGCCCCTCTCCAGAGGTTACCCTGTGTCCACATCCTTTTCATTGTGGTCCCTGCGACTGGACATTCCCCTTCAGGTGGATTTTCTCTGGGAGCCCACCTGGTTTATCCTTCTGTCATACGTTTATTGAACTTTGTTTTATCTGGCCTCCCATCCAGGCTACATTGAGACCATGCAGGAGCTGTGGAGATTAACGTTAAAAGGAACAGCACATTCAAGACTCTTCTAGGAAGTACAGCAAGATAGCCAGATAGAACCCTCCAGTGATCCTCCTCCTCCTCTTCCCTGGCAGGAACACCAAACTGAACAACTATCCACACAAGAAAGCACCTTCATGAGGACCAAAACTCAGGTAGCAATCACAGTACCTGGTTTTAACATCACATCGAGATATAAGGCAATGGCCAGGCATGGTGGCTCACACCTGTAATCCCAGTGCTTTGGGAGGCTGAGGCGGGCAGATCGCCTGAGGTCAGGAGTTTGAGACCTGGCTGGCCAACATAGTGAAACCCTGTCTCTACTTAAAATACAAAAATTAGCCGAGTATGGTGGTGCACACCTGTAGTCCCAGCTACTCCAGAGGCTAAGGCAAGAGAATTGTTTGAACCCGGGAGGTGGAGGTTGTAGTGAGCCAAGCTCGTGCCATTACACTCCAGCCTGGGCGACAGAGTGAGACTCTATCTCAAAAAAGAAGAAGAAGAAGAAAAAAGGAATAAGGCAGTGAAGAGGGTAGGAAAGACAGTCTTGAATTGCTACCACCACCCCTCCCTCATCCTCTGGCAGCAGCTGGCTGCCTGGCACAGAGAGAGAATGTGCTTATGGCACTTTGCATTGGAACCAAGTGCTGCCCTGCCACCGTGGAAAGCAACTCAGGGCAGAATTCAGCAAGTGCCCACAGAGGAAGCACTTAGAGAAACCCTAGCCAGAGGGGAATCATCCATCCCAGTGGTCAGGTTCTGGCGAGCTGCACCACCACTGGCTAAAGTGATCCAGAGTCCTAAATAAATTTGAAAGGCAGTCTAGGCCACAAAGACAGCAGTTCCTGGGCAAGTCCTGGTGCTGTGCTGAGCTCAGAGCTGGTGGAGTTGGGGTGCACACAGCCTAGTGAGATACCAGCTGTGGAGCCAAAGGAGTACTTATGTCACCAGTACCCCAACCCCAGGCAGCACAGCTCACAGCTCCAGGAGAGACTCCTTTCCCTTAGAGGAAAGGAGAGGGGAAAGTAAAGAGGACTTTGTCTTACAGCTTGGATACCATCCCAGCCACTGTAGAATAAAACACCACACAGAGTCCTGAAGCCCCCCTTGCCAGGCTCTATCTCCCAGATATTTCTGGAGCTACTATGGGCCAGAAGGGAACCCGCTGCTTTGAAGGAGAGGACCCACTCCTGGTAGGATTCATCACACGCTGACTAAAGAGCTGTTGGGCCTTGAATAAACATTAGTAACACCCAGTACTATGCTGCCTTCAGGTGTGACCCAGTGCATTCCCAGCAATGGTTGCCATAGGGAGAGACTCCTTCTGCTTAAGGAAAAGAGAAGAAAGAGTAAAAAGGACTTGGTCTTGCAACTTGGGTACCAGCTCAGCTGCAGTAAAATAAAGCACCAAGTAGGTTTCTACAGCCCGGACTCCCTGCCCTAGCTCCTGGATAGCATTTCTAAACCCACCCTGGGCCAGAAGGGAACCTGCCACCCCAAAGGGTAAGACACAAGCCTGGCTGGATTCACCACCTGCTGACTAAAGAGCCTTTGGGCTTTGAATAAACAGCAGCAAAAATCAGGCAATAGTAACCATGGGCCTTGGGCAAGACCCACTACTGTGCTGGCTTCAGGTTTGACACAGCACAGTTCCAGCAGTGGTGGCCACAGGGGTGCTTGTGTCACTCCTCTCCCAACTCCAGGCAGCTCAGCATGGAGAGAGACACCATTTATTTGAAAGTAAGGGAAGAGAACAAGAGACTCTGCCTGGTAATCCAGGGAATTCTCTCAGATCTTACTCAAGACCATCAAGGCAGTACCTCTGCGTCTACAAGAGTCACAGCATCTCTGGGTTTGGGGTGCCCCTTGATGCAGTTACAGCTGCAGTGACCAAATATTTACATCACAACACTCATTTCCCTTTGAGTACTTGGAAAAGCCTTTTGAAGAAGGATGGGTACAAATAAGCCCAAACTGTGAAAATTACAATAAATACCTAATTTTCAATGCTCTGCATTGACCAACACTCACAAACATCAATACCATCCAAGAAAACATGACCTAACCAAATGAACTAAATAAGGCACCAGTGACCAATCCCAGAATGACAGAGATATGTGACCTTTCAGACAGAGAATTCACTGTCACTGAGGAAGTTCAGTGAAATTCAAGATAGCACAGAGAAGGAACTCAGAATCCTGCCAGATAAATTTAACCAAGAGATGGAGATAATTTTCAAAATCAAATAGAAATTCTGGAGCTGATAAATTCAACTGATATACCAAAGAATGCACCAGGGTCTCTCAACGTGAGAACTGATCAAGCAGAAGAAAGAATTAGTGAGCTTGAAGACAGGCTATTTGAAAATACACAGAAGAATTGAAAGAAAAAATAATAAAAAAGGATGAAGCACGCCTACAATAGCCACAAATGGACAAATCTAAGAGTTACTGGTCTTAAAGAGAAGGTAGAGAGAAATTAGGATAGAAAGTTTATTCAAAGGAATAATAACAGAACTTTCCAAACCTACAGAAATATATAAATATTCAAGTACAAGAAAGTTATAGAACACCAAGCAGATTTAACCCAAATAAGACTACCTCATGTCATTTAATAATCAAACTCCCAAAGGTCAAAGATAAAGAAAGGATCCTAAAAGCAGCAAGAAAGAAGAAACAACACACAAAGAAGCTCCAATGCATCTGGCAGCAGGCTTCTCAGTGGAAAGCTTACAGGCCAGGAGAGAGTGGCATGAAATTTAAAGTACTGAAGGAAAAAAAATCATTTATCCTAGAATAGTATTTCCAGCAAAAATATCCTTTAGACATGAAGGAAAAATAAAGACTTCCTAGACAAACAAAAGCTGAGGGATTTTGTCAACACACCAGACCTGTCCTTCAAGAAATGCTAAAGAGGGTTCTTCAGTCTGAAAGAAAAGGATGTTAACAAGCAATGAGAAATCATCTGATGGCACAAAATTCATTGGGAATAGTAACTACACAGACAAATGCAAAAGATTTTAACACTATGTGTAAACTACTACTATATCTTGAGTAGCAAGACTAAAAGATGAACCTATCAAAAATAACTTTTCAAAACATAGACAGTATAAGATATAAATAGGGGCTAGGCACGGTGGCTTATGCTCATAATCCCAGCGCTTTGGGAGGCCAAGGCCGGTGGATCGCTTGAGCTCAGGAGTTCAAGACCAGCTGGGGCAACATGGCGAAACCACATTTCTACTAAAAATACAAAAAATTAGTGGGGCATGGTGGCATATGCCTATGGTCCCAGCTTCCTGGGAGCCTGAGGTGGGAGGATCACTTGAGCCTGGGAGGCGGAGGTTGCAGTCAGCCAAGATTGCACCACTAAATTCCAGCCTGGGTGAGATATACATAGATATACATACATAGATAGATATAGATAGAGAGAGAGAGAGAGAGACTGGGCACAGTGGCTCACACCTATAATTCCAGCACTTTGGGAGGCTGAGGTAGGAGGATGGCTTCAGCACAGGAGTTTGAGACCAGTCAGACCCTGTTTTTTTTCTTTTGCTGCTGCTGCTGTTGTTTGTTTTTGAGACAATAAATACCTAATATTGCTCTTGTTGCCCAGGCTGGATTGCAATGGCGTGATCTCGGCTCACCGCAACCTCTGCCTCCCAGATTCAAGCGATTCTCCTGTCTTAGCCTCCTGAATAGCTGAGATTACAGGCATGCACCACCATGCTAGGTTAATTTTGTATTTTTAGGAGAGATGGGGTTTCTCCATGTTGGTCAGGCTGGTCTCAAACTCCTGACGTCAGGTGATCCGCCTGCCTCAGCCTCCCAAAGTGCTGGGATTACAGGCATGAGCCACCATGCCTGTTTTTTTTTTTTTTTTTTTTTTTTTTTTTTTTTTTTTTTTTTTTTTGAGACAGTTTCACTCTTGTCACCCAGGCTGGAGTGCAGTGGCAAAATCTCGTCTCACGGCAACCTCCGCCTCCCGGATTCAAGTGATTCTCCTGCCTCAGCCTCCTGAGTAGCTGGGATTACAGGCGTGTGCCACCATACCCGGCTAATCTTTTATTTTTAGTAGAGATGGGGTTTCACCATGTTGGCCAAGATGGTCTCAAACTCCTGACCTCAGGTGATCCATCCGCCTCAGACTCCCAAAGTGCTGGGATTACAGGGTGAGCCACTGCACCTAGCCAAGAATATTTTTCTACACTAAAGTTCTTTTTTGCCTCAGAAAACAAAACAAAAAAGACTTATCACCTGAGGTCCCGTCAGTTCTTTAGAGTGTCGTTTTTTGATGTCTACTTTACTACCAACTTGCTTCATTGCCCCAAGTACCCTTATAGGAGGAGGTGCACTGGAGTCAGGAACCCTGACATCTCAGTGCTGTTCTTAACTTGCCCCATAGTCTTTGAAGGAGTAGAGTGTGGTGGAAAAAGAATGGGTCCAGGAGTCAGGACACTTGGGACCTTGTCCTAGGCTGGCCTGTTTTTAGTGGGGTGAGTTTAGGCTAATCACTTCCCTTCAAATGAGGCTTAGTAAGACCTAGTTCCTTTCAGCAGGTGCAATCTGTTCAACCAGTACTGTGCTTAAGCCACACAATTTAGCAGAAAGAAAAAGTTGTCTACAGGTCTACCTGCTGAACAAATTCCCACACTATCTATACAACTTGGGCTTGGTCCTGAATGGCTGTTGGTATTCTGATTTTAAAATGGATTAATGGAAAACTTTTCTGAGACCAGACATTTTATCCTGTATCATGTAAGAAACCAAAGCATTTTCCCCCACACTGAAATACCTATGAAAACCTAAAATATTTGTATCTATAAAAGTTGATTTTAAAAACTCCAACCACCATACTATTTCATACCTAAATCATCAAACCAGTGTTAAATTTCTTTAATGGTATTAATCCTTTTTTTTTTTTTTTTGACATGGAGTCTCGCTCTGTCACCCAGGCTGGAGTGCAGTGGTACGATCTTGGCTCACTGAAGCCTCTGCCTCCCAGGTCCAAGCAACTTTCCTGACTCAGCTTCCTAAGTGGCTGGGATTACAGGCTCACGCCACCACGCCCAGCTAATGTTTGTGTTTTTAGTAGAGACAGGGTATCACCATGTTAGCCAGGCAGGTCTTGAACTCCTGACCTCAGGCGATCTGCTGGCTTCGGCCTCCCAAAGTGTTGGGATTACAGGTGTAAGCCACCACATCTGGTCTAATTTTACATTTTTTTGAATCATTATCCAAATAGGGTCCAAACATTGTATTACGTGTCTCTTAAGTCTCCTTTATAAGCTCCCATTCCGTTTCCCTTGTAATTTATTGAAGAAACCAGATCATTTGCCATTTCTTCTCAATATGGCTGATTGAAGTCCCACTGTATTTTTAAAACATGTTCCTGTATTCTCTTATTTCCTATAAAATGGTAGTTATATCTAGAGAGTTGATTAGACTTGATTTTGGGGCAATACTTCACATAGAATGTTAGTGTGTTACAAAGTAATTGAGAAGAGTTCACATGTTCAGATCTTTATAAAATAATAAAAATTGGATTTTATCACTTATTTATTAAAGACAATCATTTATAGTTTATAAAAAAATACTGCCCTGATATACACAAAATTTTCTACTCCCACCCACTCCCCCATGTCCACACCAATATTCAGTCTAGATTGGTTTAATCTTGAAGTGTAATCCAATAAGACTGAAGACCAAACACTTCAGGTCCTGGACAAGATAATAAAATACTCGTAAGCCTTCTGGATCCCTAAAATGCAAAAGGAAAAAAAAAAAAGTTTAAAACATTGAGATAAAACTGGCGATTTCTCTATCAAGATGTTCCTTGCAAAGGAACATTAAAACTTTGCATTACGGCATTAAAACTTTGACCAATCAAGTGTCCCTAAAAAAGGAAAAGACTGTATATTAAAATGGTATATTATGAGGTAATTTAAATATGCTGAGTTTTTAATATAGGGAAATGCTTACATTAAGTGAAAAAATATAATTAAAATAATCAACTGTATTTTTTATGCTTTTTAAAAAGTATATATTCTATTAATGCACAGAAAAAAAGACTAAAAAGAAACACTGCAAGATATTAATAAGGGTTGTCTGATTGATAAGATTGTGGATGACTTTCCCCTTTCTACTTTTCTACCTTTCCTGTATTTTCTACAATGAGCATGTATTACTTTCAGAGTTAGGAACACTTTTTTAAAAAGTAGTAGTACTAAGCAGGACCAAGAGGTTGAAGATTACTGTGGCATTACTGGCTAAGAAGGAGGAAGAGTGTCCAAAGGAAGATAATCATGCCCAACATTTGCTAAAAGTGAGCCGTATCTAATCCTGAATCCTCAAAACTTAAGAGCCAAAGAAGTTGCCAAATTCTAAGGATTCTTTGTAGTACATAGGTTCATGCCTCAATTTGATAATCTACCCCACTGACAACATGAATTTTAAAATTTTTATCCCTTTTCAACAAACCAATGCTTTTGTAAAAAATAATAAATTTAAGGCCAGGCATGGTGGCTCACGCCTGTAATTCCAGCACTTTGGGAGGCCGAGGCAGGTAGATCACCTGAGGTTGGGAGTTCGAGACCAGCCTGGCCAACATGGTGAAACCCCGTCTCTACTAAAAATACAAAAAAGTTAGCCAGGTGTGGTGCCAGGTGCCTGTAGTCCAAGCTACTTGGGAGGCTGAGGCAGGAGAATCACTTGAACCCAGGAGGCGGAGGTTGCAGTGAGCTGAGATTGCGCCATTGCACTCCAGCCCAGGCGACAGTGTGAAACTCCATCTCAAAATAATAATAATAAATTTAAAATCAAATGAAAATTTAGATCCTAAAAAATGTCAAGTTTCACTGAAGTCAGATTTTAAGATGTGCCAGTCTGAACAGTCACACTGAGAAAGCTATTCAGACTCGGTAACTCTACAGTTTATCATGAGCACTCTTTAGGCATATTCCATTTTTTGTTCTGGCTGCTCCTATGCATTAATCTGTATGTGTGTGTCAACAAGAAGAATGCAGTAGCAATGGCTGAATGAAACACCAAAAGTAATAGGAGCAAGTTTTCAAAAATAATTTGGGGTCCCTCCCTAACAAGGAGGACAAAGCTGCCCACCTGCATTTTGCATTTGCCCCAGATCTTCCCATAATGGTCCCAATTTGGTTAAGGTTTCTTACCAAACTGCTCCAAAACAGACACAACTGGATGTAAAGATCATGCACACTTACTTGGATTGATTGACATCAATAAGGGAACCAATTTTTGATGTTGTAAAAGAAATGTGTTCATCTCCAATGACGATTTCAAGCTCCTAGAAACATTTTAGAAAATCTAAGTAGAATTGGCTTATTCATCAAACACACAGAAGGATTAATCATTTGCCAAATCACACAGACTTGACTACAGACGGTCACAAAATCAAGGGCAGTTCATTCTGAGCACTGAACTGTGCTGGACACTAGAAACAAGAGATAAATACAGCTCATATTTAAAAGAAGTTGTACCCTCAAGGCTCTAGCATTTCTCAGATTTGGAAAAATCTACGTAGGTCTTTTTTTTTTTTTTTCTTCCTGAGACAGTCTCGTTCTGTTGCCCAGGCTGGAGTGCACTGGCATGATCTCGGGTCACTGCAACCTCTGCCTCCCAGGTTCAAGTGATTCTCCTGCCTCAGCCTCCTGAGTGGCTGGGACTACAGGCGCCTGCCACCACGCCCTGCTAATTTTTTTTGTATTTTTAGTAGAGACGGGGTTTCACCATGTTAGCCAGGATGGATTTTTTTGTATTTTTAATAGAGACAGGGTTTCACCATGTTGGCCAGGCTGGTCTCGAACTCCTGACCTCAGATGATCCGCCTGCCTCGGCCTCCCAAGTGCTGGGATTACAGGCATGAGTCACTGCGCCCAGCCTATGTACTATTTTGTATGAGTTTTCATCATCAACAATGTGGAGTAACATGAATATATCTATGTTTTAAAAATACCGAACGATTGGACTGGGTATGGTGACTCACACCTGTAATCCAAGCACTTTGGGAGGCCAATGCAGGAGAATCACTTGAGCCCAGGAGTTTAAGACCAGTCTGGGCAACTTGGCAAAACCTCATCTCTACAAAAAATACAAAAACTAGCTGGATGTGGTGGTGTGCATCCGTGGTCCCAGCTACTACAGAGGCTGAGGTGGGAGGATCCCTTTACCCCAGGAGGTCAAGGCTGCAGTGAGCCATGATCTCATCACTGTACTCCAGCCTAGGAAACAGAGTGAGACCCCGTCTCCAACAACAACAAACAAAAACAAAAACTAAAGGATCTAACCTATCTAGGCAACTTCCAGACCTTAGGTTTGATCCCCACTTTGTCACTCCCTACCTGTATGATGGTGGGTCTCAATTTCCAAACAGTGACATGAGTACCACAAACCTTCAAAAAGTATCTATGTGTAGCCTGCTGGGTGCTCGGTATTGTTCTCAGTGCTCAGGACAGATAAGTAAAACCAAGCAAACCAAAGATCTCTGCCCTGTGGAATTTATATTCTTGTGAGCCCTACTTACTTTTTCTTCTTTTTGATTCATTTATACTTTTTGTTATAATTCAATCAGAAAATAGAAAAAACTGACATGTTTCCAATACTCAGATTTATAAATTATTGCCATACTTGTGTCAGATTTTTTTTTAAAAGAAATAAAATACTACAAAATTTATGTCTATCTCCCATTCTGTTCTCCCTCCTGTATCCCCTGATTTGTTCCATTCTTGTTTCAGGTTTGGTAGTATGTTTTCACTTACTTCTTTTTAGATACAGGGTCTCACTCTGTCACTGAAGCTGAAGTGCAGTGGTAGGATCATAGCTCACTGTAACCCTGAGCTCCTGGGCTCATGCCATCCTGCACCTTTAGCCTCCCGAATAGCTAAGACTACAGGTATGCGCCACCATGCCCAGTTAATTTTTAGGGTTTTTTTTTTTTTTTTTTTTTTTTTTTTGTAGAAAAAAGGTCTCACTGTGCTGCTCAGGCTGGTCTTGAGCTCCTGGCCTCAAGCCATCCTCCCACCTTGGCCTCCCAATTTAGAAAAAAAGTGCTGGGAATGTAGGCATGCGTCACTATGCCTGGCCTAGACGTAGTAGTGTGTTGTAAAATTTTTACAAAAATGGTCATATTATACATACTTTTTGCATTTTTCATTCCACATTGTTTTTGAGATTTATCAATGTTGAGTTACACAGATCTAGCTCATTAGTTTTAAATGCTATAGTATTCCATTTCCCTACTGAAATAAACTTAAGTTCTGAATTTTTGTTCCTATAAACAATGTAGCAAGAATATTCTTCTATACATCTCCTTATACATATGTGAAAATGTCTCCATATAATTCCTAGTATTTTAAATGTTCCCAGATACCACAAAATTACTCCCTAACGCGGTTATACTAATTTTACTCTCACTCTTTTCTCGTATCATTTTTTAAACTCGGCAGATTTTTTCTGTTGTTATTCTAATGGGTCTGAAATGGTATCTCACTGTTGTTCTTTCATTTTACAAATGAAGCTGTAAATCTTTTCACATTTATTAGCCACTTGTTTGATCTTGTAAGTTATTCATAACCTTTCCACATTCTGCCACGGGACTGTCTTTTTATTACTTTCTAATTCTTTATATATTCTGGATAGAAAACTCTTGCCAGTTTTATGTTTTGCAGATACCTTCTTCCAGTCTATGGCTTATCTTTCAACTTTATCTTGCCATCTTTTGTCAAACCTAAGTTGTAAAGAAGTCAAATTTACCAATCTTACCCCTTAAGGAGTTTTAAAAACTCCTTCTCTATCCATAAATAATAAAAGATAGTCTATATTCTGTTTAAAATTTTTGATTTCTATAGCCTAATTTAAAAACATTCCATAAATATATTGTCAGCTGTCCTGGTACAATTTGTTAAATAACTCATTCTTTTCCCATTAATGTGAAAGTCCACCTCTGTAGTACGCTGTTCCAAGTTTCCATATATTCATAAGTTGGTTTCTGGGCTGTCTATGCTGTTCCATTGGTTTAGCTGTCAATTCCCGAGGCAATATCATACTATAAATGGCCACAGTTTTATAAGCAATCTCCAGTATTATTTTGGCTACTCTTGCCTCTGATTTTCCATGAATTTAATGCTTATTCTATTTGATTTTAAGGGGAAAAAACCCTACTGCGATTTTCATTTGAATTAAGAGTGAATTTATAAATTACTTTGTTGAAAACTGACATCTATATGATACTGAATCTTCCCATCCACAAAAACGATACATATTTTTGTCCTTCTATAAAGCCCTTTCAAGTTTTGTACATCTTGTTAATTGCATACCCAAGTTCTTTATTAACTTTTCTTGTAATTATTAATGGGATTGATTTTAATTACAGTACCAATGGCTTATTGCTGGTATAAAGGAATATGCCCTTCCCTCTTCACACAATTGTTGTGATGGTTGAACGAGCTAACAGAAATAAAAATTTTATAAATGGTAAAGCAAAATACATATATATGATATTACTGAGATTCCTTGAACATAAAGTTAACTTTAGTAAGTACTGAAGGTAGGATTTTTTAAAAAAACTCTTCTTGAAGGGTTGGTCCATCATTTTGAGGTTATTAGGCATGAGTTTATATGGGTTTTCATGTTAATTTAACAAATTATTATTGGGCTTTTACTATACATGGGCACTATTTTAGTCACTGGAGATATAGCAGTGAAAAAATTGAAAAGCAAGTAAGACAATTTTAGACAATAAGTGCTACAAAGACAACACATATTGTGATGAAACTGAAAGCAAAAAGAAAACACACACACACACACAAAGACAGCACAACAGATCTTTTTCTTAATGATGGGAAGAGACTTCTTAGATTGAATGGACAGGCAAGATATCACCGAGGAACCGACTTTTGAAGACCTCAATAATAGAGAGAGTCTTGTACAGAGTTAAAGGAAGAATATTTTAGGCAGAATGTGGCAAGTGCCAAGGCCCTGAAGTAAGAACCACCTAGGTATTTCTGAGGAACAGAAATGAAGCTAGTAAGGTTTGAACACCATGACAGACTGGAAGCATGGTAAAAGATAAGGTGGGAGTTTAAATTTTAAGTACAGTGGGAAGCCATTGGAGTTTAAATCAGTGGAATACATAAGCAAATTTACATTTTTAAAGATCACACTGGTCAGGCGCGGCAGCTCACGCCTGTAATCACAGCACTTTGGGAGGGCAAGGTGGGCGGATCACCTGAGGTCAGGAGTTCAAGACCAGCCTGGCCAACATGGTGAAACCCTATCTCTACTAAAAATACAAAAATTAGCTGGGCATGGTGGTGTGTGCCTGTAATCCCAGCTACTCGGGAGGCTGAGGCAGGAGAATCACTTGAACCCAGGAGGTGGAGGTTGCAGTGAGCTGAGATCATGCCACTGCACTCCAGTCTGGGCGACAGAGCGAGACTCCGTCTCGAAAAAAAAAAAAAAATTACATTGGCTTTCAGGATGGAAAAATGGATGGTATGGAACAAGAGGAAAAACAAGGGAACCTATTAGAAGTCCAGAAGTCTGGATTAGGATGGTAGCAGTCAGAGTGAAAATACCTTTTCTGTTAATTCAGTTCAATATGATAGTGGCTTTTATTTTTTAGTTAACAAAACGGTGCTCGGAATTAATATATAATGTATATAAATACACATGAATTTAAATACATATACTGAATTATTTGTATGATTTTCCTTTCATTAGATTGGTGAAATAATCATGTTCTATTTTTCTTTGTATCTCCACAATGCTTTGTCCATAGTAGTTAGTAAATGAGATAGGCAGCAAAAGCTTTAAGTGGAGGAGGGAGTGTGGGGGGTCCTAAGAAGAAATTCAAGGCTGGGTTCTTGGTGGCCAGCAGCACTTGTTCTCTCTGTTCCTTCCTGTGGGATTAATGCTTCCTTAGACCAAGGTGCTGGCAATCTGCTTTCTGCAGGGCTGACCACCACCACCACCACCACCATCACACACACATGCACACAGTTTCACTATCATATGCAGAGCACTAAACCTCATCTTATTTGTAAGATTTCTGCACTACAGGATAATCAATAAAACATACCTGCCGGCCCACTCGGTCAGGAGGAGGCCACAATGCATCATCCTCTTTGGTAATTTCACTGTCATCGATTATTCTCTTCAGTTCCTCCATCACGCTTTTATGTACATAAGCCTGAAAGCAAGTTAAAAGACAAAATGTATGTTGTATCCTTAAGCAGTGCTTTGACTCAGATAGTGATGGAAGATAAAAATAACTGTTCCTGCAGACTTATTTCTGGCATCTTCTTAAGTGGGAAGACATTCATGCTCAACCTCGGCATGATGCAGGTGAGGGACAGGGTCAGAAGTATCTAATAAACTGCACCTCAGTCCCCCATCTAGCTGTTACTACCTCCTGGTACATCCTGTTTACATGGCCCTTCTGCCTGTCCACACAGCCAACTCACAAAGAAACCCAAAATAGATCTGTGAATGCCCCCTGCTATGGTTTGAATTTTTGTGTCTCCTCCAAAATTCATGTTGAAATTAATCCCCAATGCAACGGTGTTAATCGATAGGGCCTTTAAGAGTTGATTGGGCCTTGAGGGCAGAGCCCCCATGGATAGGATTAGTGCCTTAGGAGACAGCTTAAGAGAACTAGCTGGCCCCTTGCTTGTTCTTTCACCATATGAGAACACTGCATTCATCCCTTCTGGAGGATGCAAAAACAAGGCACAGTTGTGGAAGCAGAGACTGGGCCCTCACTAAACACTGAACCTGCCAGTGCCTTGATCTTGGACTTCCCAGCCTCCAAAACTGTGAGAAATATATTTTTATGGCTTAAAAATTACCCAGTCTCAGGTATTCTGTTATAGCAAAACAAAAGAGACAGCAACACCTACATGCCCTGGTTTATTTTTTTTTGAGACGGAGTCTCACTCTGTGGCCCAGGCTGGGGTGCAGTGGTGCAATCTCGACTCACTGCACGCTCTGCCTCCTGAATAGCTGGGACTACAGGCACCCACCACCACGGCTATATTTTTTTGTATTTTCAGTACAGACGGGGTTTCACCGTGTTAGCCAGGATGGTCTCCATCTCCTGACCTCGTGATCCGCCCACCTTGGCCTCCCAAAGTGCTGGGATTACAGGCGTGAGCCACCGCGCCCGGCCAGTTATTCTTAACTAGGTAATACGCTCCTGAGGAGCAAAATGTATTTGAAAAGATATGCCTGTGTAAAAAAATAGTGAGAATGTTGACATGTGTGAATAAGCATGAAACTGATAGCTAAAACAACAGTATGAAAAATATATGCTAAGACATTTTCAAAGGTGGCAGAGTGGTTAAAAGAGTAGCTTTGATGAAGCCTTAATGATGTAGTAGAAATCACAGAGAGGAGAATACAAACTTTACTGGGGAATTCCTTTAATTGGGAATTCCTGCTGTATCTCTTACTAGCAGGGGTAACTCTGAACAAGTCTCATAATTAATATCTGGGCCTTTATTTTCTTATTTGTAAGGGGGCTATAATACCCTCCCCCATCACATGGGCTTATAATCAGGGTTAAATAAGATGCCATGCCTGACATCTAACATGCATTCAATGATATCAACTGCTTTCCCATGCTCCCTTTCCCACTCAGATGCAAATTAAATAGCTCTCCATTGTGTACTATGTGCCAGGGAATATATAGAGCACTTTAAGTATAACACATTTAATTTTATGACAGCACTTGGGAGTGGGAGGTAGCTTTTATTTTCCCTGTTTTTGCAGGTGAAGAAACAGAGATTTAATCAAGTTCAGCCAGGAACTTGCCCACTGTCACATGAGGTAGTAAGCAGCAGACTCAGGGTTCAAACCAAGGTATGTCAATGGTTACCAGTAATTGATTCCACATTGTAAAATAAAAAAATCCCAACTAAAAGATGATTTGGGAAATAATCCAGAAGCTGTCTACAGACATGTGTCTCTCTCCCTGTTCTTTACCTTTCAATACTAGATACAACAAAAACAATGCAAGACAAAAAGCTGAAATGTAGAAAATGAAGGCCTCTCAGAAGGCATACCTCTTTTCTGATCATGACATCATTCTTGTAATTGCTGTTGTTGGCATATCTTAACTTCCCTGTGGGGACAAAAGCCAAATTCAACATATAATAAAAACATGAATAAAGCATCAATACCATACCAAGACTATCGGCAGTTGCCTAAAATGTATCCAACTTGCTCAAAGTGTCTAAGACATTTATTATTTACTCTTAAGGTAGTTCAACAATACTAGTCTTTCAGTTCTTCACTTCAGGCTTAAACAGCCAAATATACAGCTGACACTCAACTACTGCAAAAAGCAGCTCAGGTGAGGTAAAAACACAGGCAGGCTCTTTTCTGACTTTGTCGAATCACATTTTTGCAGGTGAATGTCCTGAAAACAGGCAGAGTAAATGATAACTTACCAGCACATAGGACCTCCTGAGGCTCAAATGAGTTGTGAAAACATTTTGAAAACTGTAGGATGCTGTTTACATATATTATCATGTGACTGTGCCACACTCTATTTCTGTGATGGAAAAGTTGTTGCTTTTATCACTGAGCACATTTGGTACACAAGACCCTTTGTCCATGTGTGCGTCTAACAGGTTAATGTGAATACATGGTGGGGATGAGGAGAAGATAGAAGGAAACAGAAGACATGTAGACTAGAAGACATACATGTGAGATGAGCCCAGTGAATTTATTCCAACGGTCTCTGTGCTGTCTCTCTGCCTCAAGTTTCTTCACATTCAGTTCACTGTCCATATAGTGGACAAGGTGATGTGGTAACAGATCTATCAGATTAGGTTACTCTAATACTTTGATAAAGTCAATGGCTTTCCGCTGCCTTCCTGGTTAAAATCCGGCCGGGCGCGGTGGCTCACGCCTGTAATCCCAGCACTTTGGGAGGCCGAGGCGGGCAGATCACGAGGTCAGGAGATCGAGACCATCCTGGCTAACACGGTGAAACCCCGTCTCTACTAAAAATGTAAAAAATTAGCCAGGCGTGGTGGCGGGCGCCTGTAGTCCCAGCTACCTAGGAGGCTGAGGCAGGAGAATAGCGTGAACCCGGGAGGCGGAGCTTGTAGTGAACCCAGATCGCGCCACTGCACTCCAGCCTGGGCAACTGAGCAAGACTCCATCTCAAAAAAAAAAAAAAAAAAAAATCCAAACTCCTCAACATGGCATACGGCTAAGCAAAGCCCCTGCCTGCTTTTCCAGCCTCACTCCTGCAATATTCTTCTCTCACACAGCTGGAGTCGAACAACTTGGTTTCTGCCTGAAACATCCCAAGCACTTTTTGGTTTTCAGCCTCTTTGCATGCTGTCTAAAATGCCTTCTTGACTCTTCTTGGTCTCCTAACCAATACCTCACATCCCCTCCTCCCATCATTTTATGTAGGAAGCCTCCTCTGACCCTCAGGCTTGGCTAGGTGCCCCTTCTCTGCTGCAAGTCTCCTCTGTTTCTTTTTACCACAACACCTAATACGCTGTTTGGTCCCTGCTTACAAATCCATCTCCCTCACAGTCGGGGCCTGTCAGATACATCTTTGTGGCCCGCTTAATGGATGTTTTCTGTCATCTTTGATTCCTCTTTCCTTCACCACAGTGCCTCCGCCAAAAAAATCCTATCAACGATCAAAGTCCAGTTGATTCTGCCTCCAACAGTTTCCTAAATCTTTCTCTCCATTTCTACTATCTCTGTAGTCCCAACCGACATCTTTTTTTTTTTTTTTTTTTTGTGACACAGTCTCGCTCTGTCACCCAGACTGGAGTACACTGGCACTATCTCAGCTCACTGCAACCTCCGCCCCAGGTTCAAGCGATTATCCTGTCTCAGCCTCCCGAACAGCTGGGATTACAGGCATCTGCCACCACGTCCGGCTAATTTTTGTATTTTTAGTAGAGGCGGGGTTTCACCATGTTGGCCAGGCTGGTCTCGAACTCCTAACCTCAAGTTATCCGCACACCTCAGCCTCCCAAAGTCCTGGGATTACAGGCGTGAGCCACTGCGACTGGCCCCCAACATCTTTCTTGTCTTGACAACAGTCTCCTAATCAATAGCCCTGTTTTCACTGTTGCCCATTCCGCACCCAATAACCAGAATGCTTTTTCAAGAACAGATCACATTTCTTCTCTGCTTAAAACCTTCCAAGCCCGGCCAGGCGCGGTGGCTCACGCCTGTAATCGCAGCACTTTGGGACACCGAGGCCGGCGGATCGCCCGAGGTCAGAAGTTCGAGACCAGCCTGGCCAACCTGGTGAAACCCTGTCTCTACTAAAAATACAAAATTAGCCGGGCGTGGTGGTGGGTGTCTGTAATACCAGCTACTCGGGAGGCTGAGGCAGGAGAATCGCTTTAACTCGGGAGGCGGAGGTTGCAATGATCCGAAATCGCGCCATAGCATTACAGCCTGGGCAAAAAGAGCGAAACCCGTCTCAAAAAAAAAAAATAAATAAAATAAAAAAAGCCTTCCAAGTCCAAACTCTTTACCATGGTCTATAAAGATCTACAAGGTGCGGCTCCTACTACCTATCCGACATCATCTCCTGCCATCTCCCAGCTCACCACTCTTCAATCACACTGACCACCTGAGACATGCCTAAGCTCATTCCCGCCCTGCAGCCTTGACTTCTGGTATTCCCTTTGGGTAGAATGGTCTTCCTTGTGAGCTTCACAAGGCTGGGTCCTTCTTGCTAATTAGGGCTCAGCTGCAATATACCATTAGAGCTCTCTAATGGCCAACCTATCTAAAAGCAGCCCATCCAGCGATTCTACCATATTTTCTGACCACTCACTGCTATCCGGAATCATCTTTTTATGATCTCTCTCCCAGCAGTAAAACACAAGTTCCACGAGAGAGGAAGTTTGTCTATCTTCGCTGTCGTATCCCCAAAGAGTGGAACAGAGCCTGGCACACAGTGGGCGTTCAGCCAACGTTTGTTGTATGGATAAAACGACGCCGTGGAGCAGACACAGTGGCGCTCCTTTCAGATCCGCACTGCACAGGTCTCAGCCCCTTCCTCCTCTAGTTCCCCACAGATTTCCGACCCTCGGCCTCCCCACTCGCCCGCCCCAAGGCCTGGTCCCGCTCCCGGCGGGCGGCAGGCTGCTTTTACCATCCGGTCGGAACTCAAACTCCAGGAACTCGTGGCCGAATTTGCCCTTGTGCCCCACGTAGTAACGCAGATAAAAGTCACTCTCCATGGCTCCCAAAAGACAACCGAGCCTGAACTTCCAACAGCAAGCCGCACTGCTGCGGTCTGCGCCCGACACTGACGTTTGCGGCGGCGCGCGGAAGTGACGTCAGATTACGCCGTCGCGTAATGGAGGGGTTCCTTCTAGCTAACCTATTCGCCCGGAAGTGACAACAAGACTGCCACACCCTCTCACGCCTAGGAGGTAACGAACTTTGTTTAACCCGGAGGCGGGGCCAACCAGCTCCGCTTCTCCACCTGGACGCGGGAGCGAGGTTGAGGTTGGTACCCGCTGGGTTCTCTCCCGGCCTGAGGCCGAGAGCCAGCCGCCTGCCTACCTCTGGGCTTTGAACGCGGGGTCTGGTGACTTCGCTTAAAGATCTCGGACCGAACACCCCGAGCCTTGCCCCCGCCAGGCTCAACCTCAGTTCACAGGACCCCCGACTTGTGTGAGTCGTACACCGCTCTTTACCGTCTCTGGACCTAGGTCATCTCGGCAGTAAAATGGGGTGAAATGACCCGACCTTCCCGGAGGATGCCGCGCACGATGTGTGTGCCTCAAGATGGCTTCCATTGACCTGAACTGTTAAGAAAGCCCTCAGTGACGCCTTCCCTGAATCCACAGTGGAGATTGCCGTTTCCCTGGAACTAGTTCACCCACACTTACCCATTTCGTCCTTTTCCACCTTTTATTTCTATCTTTCTGCCCCACTGATCTCTAGAATAGGTGCTGTGAGAAGTTAGAGTATTTGATCTCCCACTCCCCAGTCATCCCACTTACCGAGCAGTGATTCTCAGCCTGGCTGCACATTGGAATTACCTGGGGAGCCTCTAAAAATACTGATGCCAGGGCTCTACCCCAAGCCAATTAAAATCTCCAGCGCTGGAACTGGGCATTGGTACTCTTTGTAAAGCTCTCAGTTGAGGACCACTGACCAAAGAGACTCTTTTCAGAGCAAAGTTGTCCTCTGTGAAGCCATTCTGGCTCTGGAAAAAATTTACAGTTGAGTAGGGCCAGAGCAATCAAGATCATAATTATTTAATAGGAGCCTGCTCTCACTCGTCTAAGTTCCACACTTAGAGAGAATGAATGGTTCTAGAGACAGTGCTGAGATGACATCATTCTTGGGGCCTGGCAACTAGAACAGTATAAGATTCTGTAAGTCGGGACAGCAGTCTCTGATTCCTACCCCCAGTCTTTTTTTTTTTTTTTTTTTTGAGACAGAGTTTTGCTCTTGTTGCCCAGGCTAGAGTGCAACGGCTGGTTCTCAGTTCACCGCAACCTCCACCTCCTGGGTTCAAGTGATTCTCCTGCCTTAGCCTCCCAAGTAGCTGAGATTACAGGCACGTGCCACCACATCCAGCTAATTTTTGTATTTTTAGTAGAGACAGGGTTTCACCATGTTGGCCAGGCTGGTCTCAAACTCCCGACCTCAGGCGATCCATCCGCCTCAGCCTTCCAAAGTGCTGGGATTACAGGCATGAGCCACCGTGCATGGCCCCCAGTCTTAACAATGAGTCCTTTTCTCCCTGAAAAAGCATTAGCAGCAGAGTGTAGAGTAGGTGTGGTGGGGGAAAAAAACCATTGGACACTGGTTAAAATAATCTTTTGTTTTAACAATGACTCATTGTAACCAAAGGTGAACTGACTCAACTTTTTAGACTTCAGAGTTTCCTTCTCTTTAAAATGAGCATAAAAACGTACACCTAGCAGAACTGTTATAAGAAACAATGTCTCGGAAACTGTAAATTGCTATAAAACCATGACATTTTTATTACAAAACACCGCATATTGGTAGTAACAAGGGAACTGTATAAAAGAGAAGGGGGCTAGACACAGTGGCTCACACTTGTAATCCCAGCAGTTTGGGAGGCTGAGGCAGAAGGATCACTTGAGCCCAGAAGTTTGAGACCAGCTTGGGTAACATAGAGAGACTTTGTCTCTACAAAAAATTTAAAAATTAGGTAGGTGTGGTGGTGCACACCTGTAGTCCCAACTACTTGGGAGGCTGAGGTAGGAGGATAATTTGAGCCTGGGAGGTCAAGGCTGCAGCGAACCATGATCATACCACTACACTCCAGCCTGGGTGACGAAGCAAGACCCTATCTAAAAAAAAAAAAAAAAAAAAAAAAAAAAAAAAAAAAAGAGAAAAGGGAACCATCAAGCACCTAATAAATGTCAGCTCCTAGGCTGAATGGGATTACCTGTGCTTGTTTTTCGAATCATCACAACAATTTTGAGGTGGTAATTAGAGTTAAGTGTGTAGAGGGATTAAGCAATTGCTACAAGGTTATTTTCCAGGAGTAAAATTATAAAAATCATAAGTGAATCTGGGGATCTTCAGATGTGGCAAATAACAAAAGTGTTGAGAAATTTAAAGGACACACAACTCCAGTCAGGCTGTAAAGTAATCCAGGTTTCTGGATATGAGACGTGGTGTAACTGAAAGAGCATGGTCTGTGTGTGTCTGCCGTGCCTGCATTCAGCATCATTTATTGAGCATCCACTGAGTGTCATGTGCAGAGAGAGAGGATACAATGTTGGGCAAGACAGTTCTTTACAGAGCTTGCAGAGGAGGAAGTTAAGGAGCATACAAGCAATTACAATGTAAGGATAAGATTTCCAGTAAAGGAAGCACAGAGTACTATGGAAGCACATGAGGTGACTCCTAATACAGTGTAGGGTCCTTAGGGAAATGTTCCTGAAGGAAATGTTCCAGACAGAGGCCCAGAACTGTGTGATTAGAATATAGAGCAGTGAGTGATGAGGCTGGAGATGGGGCAGAAGCTGAATCATGAAGGGCTTTATAAACCATATTAAAAGAGTTTGGGCACACCCAAGAATATTGAATTTTAGTGCCAGCAAAGCAGTTGAAGGGCTTTAAACAGGAAAGTGGAAATAAGTGGTGGTGATACATCTATGGCACTTTAGAAAGACACTTTGGCTGCAGTGTTGTGGGTTAGATTGGAAAATGAAAAGACTAGACGTATGACATTCAGATAAGTAGTTAAAGTAATCTATTAGCTGGGCAGGGTGGCATGCGCCTGTAGCCCCAGCTACTCAGGAGGCTGAGACAGGATAATTGCTTGAACCCAAGAGGCGGAGGTTGCAGTGAGCTGAGATCATGCCGTTGTACTCCAGCCTGGGCAACAGAGAAAGAGACCTTGTCAAAAAAAGAAAAAAAGAAAAAAAAAAAAAAAAAGGCAAGCAAAATAATTATCCAGGCATTGTGGCATGTGCCTGTAGTCCCAGCTACTCAGGAGGCTGAGGCAGGAGGATTGCTTTAAGCCCAGGAGTTTAAGGTTGCAGTGAGCTATGATCCTACCACTGTACTCCAGCCTGGGTAACAGAGTGCGACCCTGTCTCTTTTAAAAAAAAAAAAAAAAAAAAAAAAAAAAAAAAAAAAAAAAAAGTAAAGGAGATAGAAAAGTGGATGGATTTGAAGTGGAATACCATAATTTAAAGGGTGGGCAAAGGAGACGAAGATGTGGCCAGAGAGATAGGAGAAAAACCACGAATATGGTATCATGGAAGCCAAAATAAGAGTATTCCAAGAAAAGAGTGGCTAACAGTGTTAACTACTGCTTCCAGGTCAAGAAAGATCAAGACTGAAAATGTTTACCAGATTTATAATCGAGGAGGTCCTGGATGACCTTGGCAAAAGCAACCCCAATGGCATAGGAATGAATGGTAGGGCAGAAGTATTGGGATGCAAGTAGGCAAAAATTGTTATAGAGGTACTGAGGTGAGTTATCTAACCTAGTCTTAGAGAGAAGGGAAGGCTTCCTGGAGGAGGCATTACCTAAGTGGAGTACTCAAGAACAAATAGGAATTAGTCATATAGAGGCAGAGAGGGAAAATTTAGGCAGAGAATGCTACGTTACAATTGATCTTAGGGGGCACTAAAAATAACCTTGTGACTTTGGGCAGTTACTTCACCCATTTTCTCATCTATAAAATGGGAGTGGATAGTATTGATAGTATTTACCTCACCGAATTGTTGACAAAGATTGAGATAATGTATGTAGAATACTGGTACACATTAGGGACTCAGTTCACTCCCGCTCATTAAAGTATTACAATGAAACAATACTTAAAGATTTTTTAAAAATGAATTTAATCTCTCTCTAGAAACAGTGCACTGATTTTACAAATGTCCACATTTGGTTTTCAGTTTACCAAGATTATGTTAGTACAGCTAGTGAGATGCAGCACGCCATCTTCAGCCCCCTTGCCTCTGGAAGAGACACCAGACTGCAAAGGGCACCGCGCACAGAAGCTAATGGAACTTGAATGAAAAGACAAAAAGAGCAGAACTGGTTAGTGTGACACAACATTCTAACATGCCTGATTCTTACATCGAATATGGTAACTTGAGGGTTGGTGGGGGAAGACAAACAAGGAAAATCCACTTGGGAACAATTTGATGAAGTTTGCAAACCAGCATTTTACCCCCAAATTAACAACAGCTTGTATGGAAAAAAAAAATGCTATTTTAAAAGTATATGGTTTGGACAGGTATCTGTTTTCTCTTGCAGTTCTTGTAAAAAAGTATCAAAACCTTGGCTTTAAATATATATATATATACACACACACACAAGTGGCTTTTTAAAAATTACTTTTTATAGCACAAAGTGTTTGTAAATGCAGAGGTTTTCTGCTAATTCTTGACTGTGCACATGGTGCATAGCCTGAATGAACAGAGCTTCCTGATTTTTTTTAACTGAAAAATTGAAGCAGTAATTCTTTAACCTTCTAAATTTTCCATACCCTAAAAATACAGTGTGAGAAGACTGTTACTCTATCTTCATGCATTTCGGGAAAAGGAATTATTTACTCTGAAATGTTTAATGCTAACTCATTTATATTTTGTGAAATGATGAGTGTATGGCTGGAGTTTTGGGGGTAGGGTGGAGAGGCTTGCATTCCTGTGCCATTTCCCCATTCCCACCAACGCCTGACTGGACAGTGATTGGTATCCCCTCTCCAGACTCAGTGTCTTCAAAATTTTCAGTTTTCTCTCTCACAGTTGAGAAGATCTAAGAGGCTCTCAACAACATGGCATGCTTCTGTGAAAATCCCACTGCCCTTGTATTAGTCTTCGTTGACCATATAAAAAAATCTTTGACTCAAATATGTGAAAAGCAGTCAGCATTTTCCTTTGGCCACTGGAAAGCTTGAGGCTGAATAACATCAGGTCTGCAAAGTGCTGGCAATGCATCCTAATGAATTTTCCATGATGAATTTAGTGCCTTGTACACAATGATCAAGAGATGCTTCATTGAATCAGAAATTAATCTATTTTATAAAGTACTTACATTGAACCTCTTTCCATACAGCCTCATTTCTTGACCCCTTGAGCCTTTTGTTCCTGTTAGAATGAACTGTGCAGTTCCTAAAGTCCCCATGCTACTTCATACCTCTGTGTTTTAGCTCGGTGTGTCTCTGCCTGAAGCAGCTTGGAATCCCCTTCTTAATTTTAAGACTTAAAGTCACTTCTACGATGACCCTATTCCTCATCTTCTCAGGTAGAAAGACCCCTCTCTCCATTGTGCCATAACAGTGCTCTGAATAGAATCGATGCCTTTTTTGTTTCCACATATATCTTCCTCCACTGCTACTGTGAACTCTGTAAAGTCAGAACATGTGTGACTGACCTTTACATCTGCAGTGCCAGGTGTGTAGTTGGTATCTAATGAGTGGTTTTAGTGAATGAATATACTGCAGTCATACTGAGATAACTGGAGGGATCAATAGGACTTACTGCCATACATTTAAATCCGATCTCATTCTCTTTTTGCCAGTTAATGGGTTACTTCAATCTGTTTTATAAATAATCCGTGCTATCAAAAGTAGGTAAGTAGTTTTCATTTTCTCTGTTTCTAGAAGGCATTTCAGCTAGTGCCTTTGTAATTCCACTGGAGGAGAGGTAGACCATAGTATAGGTAGCAGGTCTGATACAATGTTCAGGCAGCCCAAAATAGTCTTCCTGCAGATGGAAATGGAGGAAAAGCACTGGGACTGGCTTCTGATACATTTTCTGCCCTCTTGGCATTATCTCTGAGCTTCCTTCCAGCTCTATAGTCCAGTGACTCTGTGATCTATGATTGGCTGTAGATACCTATGCACAGGGGGCAAAAGGCAAAAGATATGTAACTACACCTCAAAATGAGGCTGAAAAGCCTCTGCGAATGGGGGAAGGTGGATCTGGCTCCTCAGGTTTCATCTGTTTACTGCTGTCCAACAAATGAGCATTTCACAATTTGTTTCTTGTAAAGGGTTGCTCCCATAGCTGCCTCTTTCAAACTGCAGTTATAGCATATGCAAGAAACATGGATGTCTCCGAGAAAGCTGTGAATTTCATCATCATTTTGAGATCTCAGGCTGTATGTCCAGACCCCATTCATTATTTTTTTCTGTGAATGCCAGGATCTGACCGAAAGTTTAGAAACTATGCCTTATCCACTGTTATCATTTAATTCCTTGGAAAATTCAGTTTCTTTGGAAGAAGGTTACAGGAAAAGTCACTTGTTTTGAGTAAATTTCCATGTTTTTCACTGTCATCATTTTTCTTCAGTCAAAAATAATTTTACTCTCCGTTCTTAAAAGAATGGTAATGTGAGTAAGCTCCATAGGAGTTGGCCACCTGTTCTTAAAATTCTGTTTGTTATTGGTCATTCTAGGTCAACTGCATTTACCCTCTCAATGGAATATTTCAGGACTATCAACACATGCATGTCATGAGGAGATTGCTGGATTATGCAAAACACAGTGCCCAAGCTCCAGAATATAGTTATTTTCTTAGAGTTTAGGAGGCCAAGAGTGATGCAGAGGAAGGTCCTAGGTACAGGATGCTAGAACTCCAGAATGTCTGACTGAAAATTCAAAGGGTATCAAGCTGGTGAGACATCCAACCTTCATTGAGTTGGGGGCATCTGGCAGGTAGGGATGGGAAGGCATTTGGTTAAGTGTGTCAAGTTCCAGGTATGATGAGATTAGATGCATCTCCTCTGCTCCTACTTAAGTCAAACACTTCCATGTTGCACCTTGTCCCTGGTTGTCTACTGGGAGTAAGTGGCAGAACAACAGAGTTAAGAAACTCAAACTCTTTCTCTTTGGATGGGAAAGCCAGTGGGGACTGAATCCTTCTGGGACTATAGGATTATGTTTCCAATGGGAGACCCCACAAATAGAAAAGAGCACTTCTCCCTTCCTCCCGCAAGGCCAGGAAAAGCAAAGAAGGTGTCTATAATGAAGAGCATCTATACATATACCCAGAGTTTTTCCTTTTATTTACAAAGCAGTAAACCAAATTCCTGTGTGAATGTAAATATCCAATATACTATAATATTGTGTATGCCATTTCCCCCCTCAAATATGACTTCAGTTTTGGCCAGTTGTTCTGACTTAAGCCAAAAATTAGTTTCATCTATATGAACATATGATGGTAAGTAACCTATTTATTACTTTAAAATGTTTCCCCACATAAAGGAAATGGTAGAGAGTAAGGGGAAAAGAGAAATAAGAGATGTAATAAAACCTATTCCACCATCTTTATTCTCAACCACAGCATGTCCCAGATGTTCAGAGCCTGGGCCAGTCTCTATAGTAAACTTGGGCTGTTCTGGAAATGTCTCCACTTAGCTCTGTAAGGATGGCACCCTTCAGGGTGCTTCAGAGGAAACTTACTGAATTCAACCCAAGTGTCCTGAAAGAAATTGAAGAAGTTACTCAAAGAGCTGAACTTTAAAACAAGGAGTAGCTGAGGGTGAGGCATATTCTATCTTGAGTTTCTGAGCACTCTGGTACCATGGAATATCTCTACACTGACCTTTGCCAAAGCCAAGAAAGCCCCAGTAGGAGTCACAGCAGCCATGTGTGAGCTGAAAGGCTTTTCCTGACTTCCTGGGGTCGCAGGAATGGCCAGAGGTGAAAAGATTGCCTTTTTTACTACATAATTGCACAAACCATGGTATCTGTTTTCTGAGCCAGATTTCCAAAGGCTTTTCTGAAAACTACAAGATATACCCCTTGTGGACTGTGTTAAAATAAATTTATCTTTATGTATTTGAACAGTAGCCATAGATGTGCCTCTTCTCTACAGATTTTTCTGTCACACACATACACATATAAACACACACATATACACACACAGAGTCTGCGTGGTGGGCCAAACATGCCAAAAATAAATACTCTCGCTTCTCTAAATTATTTATAGAACTCATCTGATTTTTAAAATATGTTAATAAATAATCTAAATGGGGGAGGGAGTTGAAGTTTTTTTTTTTTTTTTTTTTACTTATGTTGATGGATAGCCACAAAGCATAATCATCTTATTTACAAAAAACAAACCCCCCAAAACCTAAAAAAGTCCCCCCAGCAACCAAACATCTTCTGTAAATATATTTTTTAAATGATGAGTAAGGTACTGTGCCATTGGCCCCCATTTGGTTATGTGCATCATGTTAGTCAGCAGTAGCCATTCCACGAATTCCTCATGGGTAGTGCAACCAGTTAAAAAGTGTATAAAACATTATACATAGAAAAACTCTCACATCCTTTGGATGTTTGCAGTTCATCATAACTTTGTGGTTACCTTTCCGCAACATAAATTTAAAAAAAAAATCACACACACACATACACTCACACAGACCCATATATAGAAACCCATTCATCCAGTCATACACCATCCAGAGTGTAGTGGGTGGGACTGAATTCCATGAGGCACGAAGTGGGTGATCCCATCCTCAGGGTAGTCCATCATCTTCAAGGCTTAATGCCACTCGCTGGGGAGACAAACCAAAGAATTCATCGTTAGATCCATAAGAGTTACTATTTATTATTGACAAAGTACAGACTTATGTTACTTTAATAGGTATTAGCTCACATAATCTTCAAACTCTCCCAAGAGACAAGATTTATCCTATTTATTTTACAGATGAGAAAACAAACTCAATGAGCTTAAGTAGGGTTTGTTCTGGATCACATAGCAAGTGGCTGAACTAAAATTTGATCCCAGGTCTGTATGAATCCAAAGCTGTAGATTTTTTCATCATTCTGTTTTGTATCTTTGTAAAGAAGAGTTGCTCAGATCTAAATTTTCTCAATCCTCCCTTATAGGATTTTAGGTTTGGTCAATTTCAGTGGGTTAGCTTTGGCAAATGTTAAATTTCAGGCTATGGGGTTACTTGTCTCTAGCATGCTAATCACATTTAGGAAGGTAATATACTGCACCTTCCCAACAGATTAAACAGAATCGGGAGGCAATGCAGGTTAATTAAATTCCATCCCTCTCTCCCTCACCCCTACTTTCTAGTCATTAGGTAGATGCTAGACTCCTGTCTGCCAAAAATGGCTGACCATGAGATGGTGAGCCCACTAACCCCTGAGCCAGTCTATTCCATTGTGGACAACAGATTTAAATTCTTTTCTATATTAATGTGAAATTTGTTTGTTTATATCTTCTGACATTCCCTGATTCCATCTCTCAGACTCAGAGACAGTTCTACATAGGACAACCCTTGAAATTTATAGATGGTGTTTGAATTCCCTTCCCTTCATTCTGAGTGTTTTCTTCTCCAGGATAACATCTAACTTTCCCCATCTAGTCCTGATGTAATCTTGTTTGCCTCTTTTCCATTTCCCAGATACCCTCCTTTGGAAAGACCCTCCCCAGCTTCAGTATTTTTCTTATAGTTATGTGAATTCGGGCCCGCCAGTTTACTTCTCTGAGACTTAGTTTTATCATCTATCAAATGGGAATAGTAATAGGACCTACCTCACAGGGTTGTTGAGGAATCAAATGAGATAATGCATGGAGAGTGTTTAATGTAGTACCTAACAA